TCCCCATTCAAATCTTACTACAGCCATTAATTTGCTAGGTTGCCTTAAACTAAGCAAATCACAATTCTCTTAGCCTAGGTCCCCCCAAGCAATACGGGGATACAAATACAGACCTACATTATCTCAGTAACCCTTACAGCAGCCCTGTTAAGTATGTGACATGCTCTGAACACTTAAGAAATACAATATATAAACACAATTATTAAATATTTATTCACCCTTGTGCAATGTAGTGCTGGTATCAAGAAATCTGAAACATTTTCTCAGTCCCATAACTGTATAATGAGTTCCTCCATTACAGGCATGTGAAAAATTATACACCACATGAAACTCAGTATTCCTATTATATGACCAAAGAATAATATTCTAAATAGAACAAAGGCCAACCGCAGATAATGTGCTCTTCATATACATTGCAAGCTTGAAGGCTGATGCGACCACATTCTGCTTATTTTCCAATTATTTTATCAACCAGTTAATCTTGTGTGGATTTATTTATTAAAAAAAGTATTCTCAGAAACGTATACATACATGGATATTTAAGTTTACCATTTCAGACTACAAGTTTCTTCCAATAATAATAATAATTAAGAGCTCCATTGTTTTGTACTAAATATGAGGAGACATTAAATGATGTCCACCTACTTGCACAAAGGGACTTCTAGCTCTCATCTCCCTGCTGCAGCCCCTCAAATATGCTCTGAAATTGCTCCAGAGTAGGGCTGGGCGATGTTAGGTTTTCAACAATATGATGTATCACCAGCAAAACATTGAAGTTTGGCGATAAACCGCAATGTTGAAACAAGCTGCATTGGCCCCAGTTGGCAGTGCGCTGGGAGAAACTGACCTGAGGCGCTTTCAGCCCAGCATCCGGAAGGCTGAAAGCGAGATGGGGGCTGCTCAGCTGGGGAGCATGAGAGATCCCCAGCTGAGATCCCCGACCCTGCTCCTGCTTGCCTGGAAGAGTTACCTCGAGTTGAGAACTTTGCCCCAGGACGAGAACGGAAATCGTGTGCCGGCGGCACAGCGGCAGCAAGAGGGACCTATTAGCGAGAGCACGCCTCTAGTTAAGAACAGTTTCAGGTTAAGAACGGACCTCCAGAATGAATTAAGTTTGTAACTAGAGGTGCCACTGTAATAGGAGTGAGATGGGACAGCTTTCTCCTTCCTTCCCAGCTGAGAGAGCCCCATCCTGCTCCTCCTTGCATGGGAGCAGGAGCTGGATTGGGGCTGCTCAGCTGGGGAAGTGCAGGCTCCTTCACATTTTTCCATTGAGGGGTGTGTGCCTCAGCTCCCCTCAAGGGAAAAGTTCAAAGGAGCCCCCACCTCAGCATCAGAGCCCCTACACCACCTGAAGGCAATCAGGCAGAAAAGGGGCTGGGGTCGGGGAAGGCGGAGGCAGCCCAGCACCTGCATCTGAGAGCCCCTGCACCCCTCTGATGTCTTTAAAGGTTTGAGAAGCTAGTCAATTGACCATGGTCAAATTTCGCACAATGTCAATAATGTTTTATGTAGATGGGCAGCCAACTTTTTAAATTGTATCATGGTGCCTTCCAATAACTAATGCTGTGTATTTCTTGTTGCCCAGCCCTATGTAGTACACATGAACTCCACAGTTATGAGAAGGAATCTCCTGGCCAGTACTATATCCACGTTTTAAAACCATTGCCTTTACATACATGCTATCCCTGAACTTCCAAGCAAAATCTGAAAGTAATTATTTGATCTCTTATACATCACAGACATAAATTTATATCTGCACAATGAGAGATCATAGATCTGTCAGTCATATCATCCATTGCAAGCAGAAGGACCCAGTTCAATTTCTGTCAACTACAGCAAGCTATAAATAATAGCTGATTTAGAATATTGTTTCCCCTATTCATAATAACTAAATCTGGGTTTTTGTAATTAGAACTACCATCTCCCTTTGAATTGTAGTTCAACTAGCCTAAAACTTTAACACATTTAACCACCATTTGATCTGTGAATTGCCAAAGTTTTTATAACCACCTAACGGCCAAGTCAACCTCCCTGTGATCATACACTTTCAATGTTGTCACATACCATGCAAAATGCAACTGAAGTTGCAGACCCATAAGCTTTGAAAAGATTCTATTAATATTGAAATGCAACACTGATTTGTTTACCAAAATGCCACACAGGCCGACAAAAATATTTGGAAAGTCAGGTAATCCAACACACTGAAGAACATTTTTGTTTTGGTAGAACAGTGCTGGCTGATGATGGACTCAGATCATTAGGAAATTATGGAAATGAAAGCTCAGGTTTTTGTGTCAGATTCTTGATGAGAATTTTTAGAAAGAAGCATCAGTCTGGATGGAATCTGGAGTCGTAGCTAAGCACTTCTTGTATCAGGTGCTGAGGGGCTTTTATTCAGGAGCCCTGCAGGAACAGGAACCAATTCCTCTGGCCCTTGTGCCACTATAGCTGCTTGTCACTCAAGAAAACTCGTTATTTCCGATCAGGCTGACAGGCACTGCTGAGTTTGAGAGTCAAGTGATACAGGAGAGCCAATCCCACTCCAATTCCTGCTCTCCATTTTTTTAATTATTAATTTGCATTATATAGCTCTAAAGCCTACCCTGCACAAACTTACGTCTGGGCAACTCATTTCTGAGAATGAACATGATCAACATTCTACGTTCCTGTTCTTGGCCTCCCACAACTATTTCCCATCGGATACCTGGCCTATTTAGCCAAGCCATATCCTCCCTTGCCCATATGAACTGTTGCCTTAACTTTCGAGTTACTGGTACCTGACATTTTTAAGAAATCAAGTGTCATGTGTCTAACACAGTAGCTCTTCACAAGGTGAATCAATGAATGACCACAATGGAGAAGATGAGTACTCAAGTTCACTGTGTCAACCATACTCAAAAACATACAAGGTGTATTTAACTTGTCAAGTGCTTCCCAACTTCTCTCATTGTTAATCTACTTTCAGAGGAAGAAGAGGGAAGCCCGCTTGGTTTTATTAGGCCTCGGGCAAGCTAAATGGCATTAGCCAAGATTACATGTTCTGCAACCTCCTCTACCCTATGTGAGGTTTGCTTAAATGTAGCTAAGTATAGCATGACCAAGCTTCTGTCACCCAGTCCCTCTTAATGCAGCCTGGCCTGAAGGTTCACAACAAAGTTTGCCTGGACAAGGCCTCACGTCAGTCACATGGAATATGTTCATCTGTCCTTCATAAAGCCTGCTCTGGCACATGCTTGACAAATTCCACTTGCTATTCAAATAAAACAGGGTTTTTATTTTATTTTATTACATTTATAGCTAGCCTTTCTTCCATCATTGCACCCAAGGCAGCGCAAACCCATGTAACCAGATTCTTATGTGCCTTCAAACAATATATGAGGAGATCATCTTTGTTAAATTACTGAGTATTCCATACCTTGCTAATTGCAAGTTGACTAAGTGTAAGGAACAGAAAATATAAGCAGCTGCAGAACAATACAAAGTTGGCAGCTCCAAAATTAAACATTTCATACTACAGTACAAGTTACTAGAATTATCTGTTAGTAAACACAGCGTCTATTTTCCATGTTTGCACACTTTTGGTAGGCTGAAAAGATCCAACAATAAAAATGAGAAAGGTAGAGAATATATACAAAAGCTTCCCTGATTTTTCAATGGTCCAGATTCCTAATGAAACTGCAGAAATTGTCAAAGCTTAAATGCTGCAGAAAATAATCAGGCTGTGTGATCAACCACTAAACTCCCAGCACATGCACTGTCTGCTAATATTGCAACTACATTATGATAAACAGAACTGGCAATCAGTTATTCAACATAAGCATCAATAGAATTTACACATACATTACACACCTATAGAGCAGTTAAATAGTTCACTGTAATCCAGTGTGAACTTTCTTTCTGCATAAAGGTAGGTAGCCGTGTTGGTCTGCCGTAGTCGAAACAAAATAAAAAAATTCCTTCCAGTAGCACCTGAGACCAACTAAGTTTGTTATTGGTATGAGCTTTCGTGTGCATGCACGAGATTAGGTGGTGGGATTAGAGGGCTTTAACTCTTTGCCTCCCTGTTCCCAATCCAGATTGGGCCTACTGTACCTGCATGGCGTTGGGCGCACACCTCCCATTGGAGCAAGTAGGGGCCCACTGCCAAGAAAATAGCAAGCAGTAGAGAGCCCAGTCCAGATTTGAACCCTAGCAGGAGGGGTCAGGCCAAAGGTTGATGCCCCATTCCCTCTATGGCAGGATCCCAGTCGAATCAGGCCTCTCATTCCCACACTTGACCTTTAGCAACTGGCTGGGCGTCTTTTTAAACTCATAGATGATGTCTAAGTTTGTTACTGGTATGAGCTTTCGTGTGCATGCACATGAAAGTTCATACCAATAACAAACTTAGTTGGTCTCTAAGGTGCTACTGGATGGAATTTTTTATTGTGTTTTCTTTCTGCAAACAGCAACTATTATCTGACTCTTCCACAACTTATTTATAATTAAAACATTGTTTTCCAACTGATAAAGATTGGTAGAGCCTTACCTTTTAGCAGAGGCAGTGGAGTTAACTCTATAGGCTTGCCCTGAGACCGAAACTGGGAGGAACTTTGCGACCTCTTCTGCCTGGCTTTTCTGACGGACTTCCGAGAAAATCCGTCTACTTTATCCACTGATGGAGGAGTGGTTGGTGCTGAGGACATATCCCTACTGAAAGGAACAAAGATCTTTAAGAATTTTTCCAATAAATATTACACACAAACTTCACTGCCCCTTAAAGATCATACTAGCAAGAAATCTGTCTCTAACTGCAGAGTTTAGTTTGGGAAACTGACTTAGAGGGCAATCCAATTTGTCCATTGGTCCATCCAGTCCTAGTATGACAAGATACATGCAATGAGAATCCCACAATAATAAGAGACCAGTGCAGTGAACATACATATATGCAGCTGCACCAGTCTTTATTTTTCTCATTCTTGCTCCAATTCACTTTTTTTCTTTTTGATGATATTTTTAAGTTCTCCTTCATGCATCATAGCAATTATGCAAGCAATACAGGGAAAGCAAATTCACAACATCTTTAAATGGGTGGCATGAACTCTCCTATTAGGAATCGTTTCTGGAAATAAATAATGAGCCTCTCAGTCCTTATTGCATAAATACAATATTCCAGATACCCCTAAATTAATCTGATGATATTTTATACTTCATTTAAGTATTTACATGTAATGAAAGTTATGTAATGGCAATGTGAGTCTGACACTGAGTTCAGTTAGTCAAAGAGGTATCATGTCCATTACCTATGGTGCTAACCTGCAATTCCCTTTTTCTTTTGCTTCCCATTTCTCGAGTCTCTGAAATTGGGGGAAGTGCTAGGAGTGTTGTAGTCCAATTCCTTGCCCTAAGCCAGGAAACCCTAAAACTAATAAACCCCTGTGAACCCACAACCTCACCAAGTAGATCAATTTTTAAAAATTACATCACCTTCTCCTTACATGTAAGGAAACACAAGATATTGCCATTATGGATTATTTAAACATGTCATATTATATTCTTTTAAAATAATAAAGTTTTTTACTTATGATTTACTATTTTAAAATAGCAGCAAACATAATAGCAAGATCTCATACTGCAAATAGTGGGCACTGAAATCAACACAGGACACATTACTGGTCAATGGGACTATGCTATACACACAAGACCTTTGCAGGACAAAGGGCATTACTGCAATTATAAAATATCATTGAATATTGATTTAAATGTTTATTGCCCTGTGTCAGTCCAAAAGTTGAACTTTCATATATGAGAGTTACATGTTGATTTTTAAGATGACCAGTGCTGTGTAAAAAGCACAGTGGGTGTGTGTGTCAGAATTGTGTGTACAAAAACTACAGTACTCTCAACCTCTACAAGGAATCACAAGTCCTTGTCACTCTGCAGTGAGAGCAGCTTTATCTACAACAATCCATACTTTTATCAACTTATCATTCTCATGGCCGTTGCGGCATTGTCATCCTGACTAACACAGCTTGCATGTAAAAGATTAATGATACTGTGTTATTATTATGGTTATCAATTTAAGTATGAAAAATTTAAATATTAAATATACCATGAAAATGTGAGGCCTCTACTAAAGGATGCCAGTTTTCCAAACTGAAGATGTATAAAACTAGCCTTTAAGCTATATTTGAGAGAAGCTCCACACAAACAACAAGGATGTTACTGGTCCTCCGGTGGGACCCCGAAACTCAAAAAACACCCCTGCACTCACAGCCCAATGCAAAGCATGCTTACTCAGAGGGAAACCTGGCTTTCACTCTTGAATAAGTATGCAAAGGCTGGTGCTGCACTCTGAGGTTTCCGGGCCTGCTAGGCAGGGGTTTATCCTCGCATTGTCAACAACCCTTTAGGACTACGTCTCCATCTCTCCTGGAATATTTTCGCGGCGTCTCAAAATGGAACGGCTAACCGTATTAATGGACAAGCCCTCAAGCAGATCCTTTCGACGGCGGGATCATTGTGTCAGCAAGAAGCTTTTGGCGGCCCTTCTCGGCTGTAAATTTAGCAACGCCCGCCCCCCCTTCCCGCTTCGTTAAGGGTCTAATTCTAACCCGACGAGCCCCGGCGACAGTCGGCAGGCAACGCGGGGCGCGGAAGAGGACCAGAGGGGCCCTTCCCGCTTTCGGATCTCCCTCCCCGCGGCGGGCGGCTGCTTCCTCGGACATAATCATGCAGAAATAGATCTTATTTATTTGTGTTTGCACGCGGGGGGGGGGGTGTTATTAATATCCCAGCGTGGCCTTCCCTTCCCCTCCCCACCACCCGCTTCCCCCGAGCTTTCCCTTCTCACCCCCTTGGGCCAGCGCAGGCTTAAGCCGGGGATTACCGTTATTATTTTTAAGCGAGGGGGGCGGCGGGGAGGCGGCGTTTGGGCGCCTGCGGAGCAACCGGCTGTCAACGCGGGGAGGAAACACCGGCGGGCCGAGAGGGACGGAAGCGACCCGCTCGGTGACACCGGGTGACCGGGGGGGGGGGAGACACCTCGTCCTGGCGGATCGGGGGCGATCGCCTCGCGCCTTCCCTCCAACGCTCCCAACACGCGCGGCCGGGCGGTTGCTCTCTCTCTCTGGAAGTTACCTTGAACCCTCCCGGCAGAGAATCCAGAGACGAGGAGGAGAAAAAAGCAGCAGCAGCAGCAGCAGCAGGAGCAAGGCCCCGATCCCCGGCGGAGGCGGCGAGGGCGAGCCGGGCCGGCGCGCGTGTGCCTGCGCCTCTCTCTGGCCGCGGCGCGGTTCCTGCCGCAGGAGCAGCGGCAGCCTGGTAGGCCTCGGCGGCCTCCCCCAGCGCAGGGCGGCGTTGGCGGCTTCGGGAATCAGTGGCGAGCGCGGCGGCGGCGGCGGCTTCTCCTCGTCTTTCCCTCCGGTCCCATGCGCTGCCGCCCTCGGCCCGCTCCCGCCCTCCTTTCCCCCCAACGACACGGCGGCGGCCGCCCGAAAGGCCTCCTCCTCCTCCTCCTCCTCCTGCGGTTGTAGCCGAGGCGGCGGCGGCTTCTCTCACATTCCCGGCGAGGCGGCCTCGGGGAAGGAGGGCGAGCGCGGCCCGAGCTGCCTTCGTTCGGGGTGCGGCGAGGAGGAGGAGGAGGAGGGAGGAGAAGCGGCGGCGACGGCGGGCGCTGCTCTTGCTGCTGCGGAAGGTTTTCTCGGGCGGCCTCTTTCCCTTTCTCCCCGCCTAATGTCGCTGCGGCTGCGGCAGCTCTCGCTCGTCCCTATTGTCAGTCAGTCAGTCAGTCACTGAGCTCCGGCCATGGCCCTCTCCCGTCTCTCTCTCAAACACACACACACACGCTCGCTCGCGCCCTCTCCCGCTTTCTCCGGCGCGCGCACGCGCTCTCGCTCTCTCTCACACACACACACATACACCGTCAGTCAGTCAGTCAGCCGAGCCAGCCGTTCAGGCCCCCGCTCGCAGCCGAACATGCTGGGACCCTCGAGGCCCCGCCTCGCGCCCACGCCCCTCGGGAGGATGGCGATGGAGGGGGGGGAGGAGGAGGAGGAGGAGCCGAGGCTGGGCGTGCGCGTGCCGACACCGTTGACGTCCGCCGCCGCCGCCAGAACGTCCGACGCGAAGCCTCATTGGGCCGGAAGCAAGTCGGTTCCTCCGCCTCCTCCTCCTCCGGCCCCTTCTCGCCTCAAGTGGCAGCAGCGAAAAGAGGACAAGGCCGCGGCGGGAGGCGAGTGGTACGGGCGTTTTCTGTCAGGGAAGGGAGACCGGCGGGCTCGCGGGGAGAGGCGAGGGTGGGTGGGTTGGTTGGTTGGTTCTCGCCGCCCCCCCTTCTCCCCCGGAGTCCCGCGGTCCTCCTATCTCCCACAACGGCCGGCGGCGGCGGTCTCCTGAGGGAAGCGGGGTGCTGCGCGCCGACCGCCGGGCCTTTGCGAGGGGTCAGCTTCCGCCTGGGCTCTGGAAATTAAGGGACTTGGGGGGGGGGTGCGGGGATATTTTTTTTCTGGGAAGGCTGAGGTAAGTATTCACACGTGACGCATTTCTCGACGCGTGGAGGAAGAAGCGGAAGCTCGCTGGCCGTGGCCCGTGTCGCCTTTTCGCGGATGCCGCGCGCGCGCGCGCTGATCCTGGGATCGCCCCTTTTCTCTACGAGGCGGATTTTGTTATTATTTTGCGGAGCAGCTGCCTGGCTTGTGGGGAAAGAGGAAGAAAAGCTACCCGCGCGACGTTTCCGAGAGAGAACCCACAAAACAAACCCCGCGGAGCGGTTTGCGCGCTGGTTTCAGGTGCGATCCTATGCCTACCTGCCTGGAAGCGGCAGCCTGGGGCGGAGACGTCTGAGAGGAGCCCAGCAGCGAGGAAGCCCCTGGAGCCTGTGAGAGCTTGGCGCCTATCTGGGTGCTGCTTCCAGGCTGGAGAGGCAGCTGAAGAAAGGCAGCTTGGACATCAGAGAAGAGGAGAAGTTACATGTTCTTCTGCCCTGCCCAAATAACTTTTGGCCGTTTCGTTGCCTAAAAGAAGCTTGTTTAGTAGGCGTGGGTTAGTGTTCCAGGTGCAGTGATGCGCCAGCTGTGACAGATTGCAGGATGCAGCATGGTCTTGCCTTGCCTCTTCCTTTGGCCAGTCACTATACATGCCCTGGGAATTTGTCCTCACTGGGGTGTTGTCCTGACTACATATGGGGATTCGTATGATGAAATACTCCAGCGTCCAAAAGTATTTCCTCTGTGTAAGGAAATTAGCTTGCCAAGGAGAAGATACTGTCCTAGCTTCTGTATAAGGTTTCCACATGGAGGGAGGGAGTGATGGTGCTGGTTTTTGTATGGAGAAGTGTTGCAACATATGAAAAACCCCACCCAAAATTCCAGACCAGCCATGCCACTTCATTGCTTAAGAAAGAATTAGGGCTCACATCTGGGGCCCAATGAGTTGATGATGGGGACAGTCAATGCAATTTTTCTAGAAAAAGAAGTGCTGGAGCTCACCAAGAAATTCTCCTTTGTTCTCTTAGAATGGCAATGGCACCTACTTGAGAGATTCCAGAGCTGAGTTCAGGTGAGCTCTGACTGAAAATAAAGCCCTGGGGACAGCCATGTTTGTTTGCCCTATATGAAGTTGGGGGTTGCAAAAGGTGTCTGGAGGAAATAGACTGGAGAACGGCTGTAGCTCTTATGGTAGAGCTTTTGAAGTTTCATAGTTCCCAATAAATAGTGTAACCATGTACAGAGTGCACTTCCCTTGCCAATGACGAATCCTTTTAAAATAAAATGATCTTACAATACAGCAGTATTTCAGACCATGCTATATTGCCATTATAATTGCAAAGAAAGGAAAGCTGCAAAATGTTGGCAAGGAGCTCATTCTACTAGCCAGAAAAGTAGTAATACAAATGGTTATGAAATTGAATGGAGGACCTATTTTGAAGAGGATTGCACTGAATAACAATTCCCCTCAGCACCTTGATGATGAGGTAGCCCATGATGTTCAAATAACAGTGACTTCAGCAGTTTAATTTCCTATCCAGCTGGGCAAGTCAGTGTTTGGAAATTGTAATAGTCTTTTGACTTATGTAAGGTATTGCGGTACCAGCAAAAGGTGCACATTCAGTCCGTTTGCCAAATCATTTAAAGGTGACTTGAAGGGTGAGGCGATCTTCCTGTGCTTGGAGGAGTATTTTGAGAAATACGACAATCCACAGGTAATATTGCAGCAGTTGCTTCCAGTGGGACACCAGCAGTGATTGGCAAGTACTGTGGATCCCCCCCAAAGTAAATAAATAACTTTATTTTTGAACTAAATATCATGTTAATGTTTCTTGCTTGCAGTTGCCTGCAGTCCAGATCTCTGAGGAGTAAATTTGCCACTTCCATCTTGGACATTCTCCATCATTTTGAGCCCCTCCAAAGCCTAGAGCACTCTTGGAGCTCCAGGTGACTAGGAATCACACCATTGCACTGTCAGCCCCTGTAGTTCTTGATCATGGAGCCTGCTCTGGAACTACCACAGAGATACAGATGGTGGGCTGTACACAGCTCTGGTGTAGAACCAGTTCTCATGATTGGTAATGCTCAAGGATGTGGACAAGGTACTTGAATCAGTGAGGGGACCGCTTCCCCTCTGGATCTTTGCCCTCATGGCTGATAAAAACTAGCAGGCAGAGGACAGCATGCTGGGCTAGGGAGGTGGTTAATGTCTCCCTGCGAGACAGGGTGGTCCCTGCCTGCTTGAAGGAGGCAGGGGTAAGACCACTCCTTAAGAAGCCTGCCCTGGATTCAGAAAATCTTAAGTAATTACCAGCCACTTGCCAATCTCCTCTTCTTGGTAAGGTTCTTGATTGCATCATCGCAGATCAGGTTCAGGCACTCTTGGAGGAAACTGATTTTCTAGATCCATTTCAGTTGGGGTATAGGCCTGGTTTGGGCACAGAAACTGCTTTGGTCACCCTGTATGATGACCTCTGTCAGGGGAGGGGGGGAAATGTGTCCCTGTTAATTCTCAACCTCTCAGTGGCTTTCAATGCCATAGACCATAGTATCCTTCCGGAGCAGCTGTATGAGTTGGGGGTAGGTGGGTGGCACTGCTTTTCAGTGGTCAGATAGTCTATTCCAGAGGTTGATACTTTTAGCATGTTCTTCAGCCCTGTGGAGCCTTCATTGTGGGGTTCCTCAGGGTTCAAATTTATCCTCTATGCTGTTTAACATTGACATGAAACCACTGAGTTGGGTCATCCAGTGTTTTGGAGTACGTTGTCAGCAATATGCTGACGACACACAGCTCTACTTCTCCTTTACATGGGTGTGCAGGACAGTTGTTTTGCCTTGGTAAGAGACTGGATGAGAGTCAACAAATTGAAGCTCACTGAGGCACAGTTAGTGGGTAGTTCCCTATACCAAATGGATGGGCAGTTGCCTTCTCTTGATGGGGTTACACTCCTTCTGGAGGAGTGGGTACATAGCTTGTGGGTGCTCCTGGATCCTTTGCTGTCATTTGAGGCTCAGGTGGCCTTTTGCAATGTTAAGTGAAAATAGTAGTAAAATTTTCACCCAGCTGCCTCTGCATACAATAGTACAGTGACTCTCAAAGGAAGATTGTTTACAAAGACTAGCCAATTCAGCTGTAGAACTTCTGAAATATGTGGAACCATCACTGGGTAATGAGTTGTTGCACTGTAAAGATCATGTCTTATTTTGATGACTTACATTGCAAATTTAATGAAATACAAAAAAGCCTGCAAAGGAAAGGCATTACTACCATTCAAACTCAAACTATAATACCACTATTTCACAAACTTGCTGCACCTGTAATGGGGAGCTGAGAATAATACTTCAGAAAATGAACTATTGATCTATACAACACACCTTTCCTGAATTGCAGGGGGTGGACTAGATAACCCTCAAGGACCCTTCCAACTACAGTGGTACCTCTGGATGCGAACGGGATCCGTTCCAGAGCCCTGTTCCCATCCCGAAGCAAACATAACCCGTGTCTGCGCATGCGCAGGTCACATTTCGGCGCTTCTGTGCATGCGCGTGACGTCATTTTGATGGTCTGCGCATGCGCGCATGGTGAAACCCGGAAGTAACGCGCCGCGGAGCGCAACCTGAAAATGCTTAACCCAAAGCATATTCATCCCGAGGTATGACTGTATATGATTCTAATATTTTAAGGTTTGTTTTGAATACTTTGAAATTACAGAATGCAGTTTTCTGATTGGATTAGGATGTATCTCTGCTCTACTTGCAAACAGGAAGTGCAAATGTGGAGCCTAACCTACAGCAGGAATTCATCTAAATAAGCATGAATTTTGAGGCAAAAACACTTTTCAGTGGTAGCTAGAGCAGTGAGAACTGCTGTCAAATACCCAAACCACTGCAAGCGTATTCAGGTCCATGCAGAGTTAAAGCTGGATTCATATATATTTGTGCTCTTCTGAACAAACAGAGAAATGGGCTGAACATTAAGGAACAGTGATACCTACAGCCAAATATTCATGTACTTGTTGAAGCTCATTAAAGTTAAAGGTACCCCTGCCCGTACGGGCCAGTCGTGTCCGACTCTGGGGTTGCGCGCTCATCTCGCTTAAGAGGCCGGGGGCCAGCGCTGTCCGAAGACACTTCCGGGTCACGTGGCCAGCGTGACAAGCTGCATCTGGCGAGCCAGCGCAGCACACGGAAACGCCGTTTACCTTCCCGCTGGTAAGCGGTCCCTATTTATCTACTTGCACCCCGAGGTGCTTTCGAACTGCTAGGTTGGCAGGCACTGGGACCAAACGACGGGAGCGCACCCCGCCGCGGGGATTCGAACCGCCGACCTGACGATCAGCAAGTCCTATGCGCTGAGGTTTTACCCACAGCGCCACCCGCGTCCCTTGAAGCTCATTAGAAAAGATTAAAAAATATGTATTGTTGTTATTTGCACTTTTTCACTATATAGATAATGGTTCATAGTAATAGTGATTGATTGATTGATTGATTGATTGATTAGTAAATGTTGATTATATATTGATATTTCTTCACTTGCCTTCATTTACATTCCTAAGAATTTGGTTTGGGATCAGCAACAGCTTTATAAACTCATCAAGGGCTCAGTGGATGTTGGGAAACCCTGGTGTAGTAGAATCATAGAATCATAGAGTTGGAAGAGACCACAAGGGCCATCGAGTCCAACCCCCTGCCAAGCAGTAGATAAGACTAGATGGACTAAAAGTGTAAATGTAGAACAGCTGCTTATGTTCATCCTGACAAATAAACATACACACACCTTACCTTGCCGTGCCCCATCACTTCAGACACTTTTCTCATTGCCTGGCTGACATCTGGCATTGCAACCAGACCAGAAGAAAAGTGCCTGAAATAACAGAACACAGAGAGATAAGCTATAGGAGGACTCTGCTTCCTCATACCTGTATGCACCTTTTCTAAAAATTATACACCATATCCCACCCATCCTTTTTGTTGTTGTTGTTGTTTACATGAGCATAGCAAATAAGAATAATAAAATGCCCCTTCATTAGATTCAAGTTGGACACCCAACAATAAAGGGTGTTTTATCTCTTTTTTTAAAAAAATATATATATTTATTGAGAATTTTAAGATTACAAAGAAACAAAGAAGAAAAAAACAAGTAACATTTAAACAATACGAATCAATAAAAAAAACAAGGTCAAAGAGAGAAAAAAACAAAATACATAATACATCAAAAGCAAAAAGCAAAAATAGACAAAAAATTTAAAAACAAATCCAATATTCCCAAATCATTAACTGTCATTACCTTGTTTCATCGACCTCCTCACACCTCCCTTTTTTTGTATTCTAGTTGTTAATTATCTCAGCAAATCCTTTCCATCTTTCATAATATTCTCTCATTAAATTACCTTAATCTATTTTAACCTTATCTTACCATAAAAGGCCCTAAAACTTAAAACTTAAATCTTATTTATACCAAATTCTCTTAACCATGACATATTCTTACATAATTCTTTTTAACATTTCTGCTAAAGCCAAATAATTTCATTCCAACATTTTTCTAATACTCTTTACTTTTACAAGATTTTCCTAAATAAATTGTTTAAAACTTTCTCCCAATCTTCATCCAACGTCTCTTTCTCCTGGTCTCGGGTTTTGTCAGTCCTTTCTATCCCATCCATCTAGTCCATCAACCTGGTAACCTTATATCCGAGGCCCTTGGATCTCTTCCATGTCCCATCCGCAGATCTTCTTCATATTTATACCTGTGCTTTACTTTGTCTTCTGCTCCTTTCACTCGGGGAGACTCCAGCTTGACAATGTTTTTGTCCCTTCTCGACAGATCAGCCCCTTTTCCAAAGTCAACACTGAACTCCATGTGGTATTTAAAAGCATGTTTCAAAGTCCCTCCAAAGTTAAGGGCCCGCACAACTCCGAGCGCCTCCCGGCCCAAAGCCAGACTTGAAAGGTCAAAACATTCCTGCATAGGGGGGTCTATCCAGCCCCCCATCTCCAAGCCAAACAGAACTCTGTCTCTCCAAATCTGGCTTTCTCCAGGTTCATTCGTCAAGTCCAACAACTCATGTTCCTGCTGGGCCACAGTTCCCTCCATCTCTGCCTCACTAGGTCCAGCAACAACCTCCTCCCTCATCTGATCTGTCAAAGCACACTCCTGAGTTAATTCCTGAGTGGGTTCTATATAGGTACCCACTGCCTGTCCAAACTTTCCGATCCCAACAGTCATCAAATCCATCTTCTCATGTAACTGTTCCAATAAAGCACTTGTCTTACAAAAGGCCAACACCAGAGCCTCCGAGTACATTCTTGTTGAAGGTCAGAGTCTGTTCCCACAATCTTAATCTATTGCAGCTGCAAAGCTCCCCAGTTCGGATTTAATAACAGTTTCACAAGCTCCCTCTAGGGGAAAAGCTTCTATTTGTATCCATCTCTCTCTCTTTTTTTTTTAAAGCAAATCTAACAACAAAGTTTCCTTTTTCAGATATTTTGTCAATATTTTGTTCCTTTTAGATGCGAAGGGGAACAATGGAATCAATATGTTTCTCTTCTTTTAACTATCTGTCAAAAACGTTTGTCTATAGTCAATGAACTTCCCGAAGACGTCTGTCCTGACACCCCGCTCCCAGGTTCAGGACGGTGGAGAATTGCTTTTCTTTACTTGTCTTCTGCAAGTTTAATCAGTCCAGAAAAAGTTCCCCCCTTTTCTCCTGCTTCCAAGGGGGGTTCAGTAATTTTAAATGATGAAAATTGATCCTTTACAGACGATTTTCTAAGCTCTAGCTTGCCGTGTCTTTGCTTCAATCTATTTACAAAAAGCGGAAGGCAGACTTCCTGTTTAGAGCTTCCCGCTTCAGTGCCAAATTAAAAGAAATTTCTTATTCCAATTTTCCGTTCTACTCACGGACAGTTATTTAAGCTCCAATTGTCCACAGGAAAAAGTCAGCGCTCTCCGGCAACAGCAATGCGGCTTCACTCCGTGAAAGAAGCAGTCGATTCAAGGCACCGCGCCACTCAACCCACGTCGCTCCGGAACCCCGAAATCGGGTTTCCCCGTGAGTAGGGGGGGCGCAAAGGTGCCGGCCGAATCCCACGTCCACAGGCTTCTCCCGCCTCTGGTTTTTTGATGGGTCTCCGCCTCGCCGTGGCGGTTCAGACCCTGTTTTCTACGGAGCGGATTCCTCCCGATCGGAGGAAATCCGCCATTGCCAGAGGCGCCAACCCGGAAGTCCAAAGGGTGTTTTATCTCAATGGTATATGTGATAGCAAAGAGATTATGTTGAAGGATACCGTGCTACCAACTCCTATCATGTGACATGCAGATGTCTGACCTTGAAGCAAATGAAATATTAATTTGTAAAAAGCACAGTAAGTATAACACATTTGAAAATATTTAGCTTCCTTTTTCGTGTAGCTTATTTGAAATATTTGATTATAGTGTGGAAAACCTCATTGAGAAATTAGATATAATTATATGCTGATCAGTATGTGATATGCTGAGTTGCACAATATTTTTCTATAGAATTATTGATTTTATTGCATTATATTTATAAAGTATGTTACCTGGAGGAAAGCAGTTATATCTCAACACTTTTAATTGCCTACCATGCTCACAGTGATACGAATAAATATTATTAAAGGTTGCCGTCTTAAGCACACTTGATAGTGAATAAGGCCTGTTGAGCTGGATAGGACTTAAGAGTAAACACACTTAAGGACTGTGTTGAAAGGGGTGGGCTTTTCCACCCTTTTAATGCATATTTATGCTAAGGAGGTGGCATTTAACATGGAGCATGGTGATACGATTTTATGAGTGTGATGTTAAAAGTTGGTGTTGACTATTTTTGCTCAGACCACTTGTACAGCTATTGCTGTTAGACTCTATAGACTCTGTATCTAATAAAGTGTACTCTGGTCCACAGAAGCTCATACAATAATAAATTAGTTGGTCTTTAACCATCTAACTTGAAGCTTTAAACTAAAGCATCAAACATGGCTAGTTCTCTGGGCTTAGGTGACGACCCTTAATCATTTTCTCTAAAACGTTCCCTGTAACTTTTTTCAAGACTGCTATTACAACTTAAGAGATTTGAACACTGGAAGCTATGCAGTAATTAAGGTGGTTTTTGTTTTCAGTCATTTTAAATATGCCACCTTTATTTATGTGTGTATGACTATGAATGGTATTATAAAGCACCCAAGATTGTGAAACACTGCAATTAAAGTAGATCACAACTGCTTTCCAAGAAACTGTGTGTGTGTGTGTGTGTGTGTGTGTGTGTGTGTGTAGTGGCTTGAATATCTTTTGGCTGTTTAATACATAATGATATTTGTGTTTGCTGATAGAAATTACAGTTGCGCGGCTCTTGGCTTTCAACATTCAGTGATATTCTGCTAAAAGCCACTAGAGATGGCTTTTACAAAATACAGATCAACTGTTGAAAGAATGAACACCTGACAACTGTAATGTTTGGGACATACTGTTCTGGCTAAGAATCCCTGCCCAGCAACACTGTGTGAGGCAGATTTCAGTTGAAGATAGTACATGTTAAGTAAAGATGAAGATAGAATTCCTCAGAGGACCTGTCAGTGTGGAGTAGGCAAGTCAGAAAACTGGAAGACAGCAGCTACTCCTCCCAGCTGTCAAAGCCAGAAATTCTAAGATAATTTGCATAATTCCTTCCTGTTGGAGCAAGTGGGAGGAGTAATCTCCAGGATACAATTATCAGCTGATGGAAATGCATTATTAGCAGCAATTATTTTCCCAATACTGCTTTGGAGTATATTTAAATGGGGGGGGGGAGGAATCTTACATATTAGGTCTATTATAATCTCATAATTTAGGATTGTTTTGTCAATAATTGTTCAGTCACATTCCCTTCTGTAGAAAACAAGAAATTTACTAGCTTCATATATAGGCTGATGATGTCTGAATAGGTGGTGACTGGAAAAGAAAACTTGAGAGTCATGGGGTGGCACAGGGAAAAAGTAACCCTTGTTTGCTGGAGGTGAACAGCAAATTCCTTGGTAGGTTCCAAGGCATAGTATAAAGGCATACGATGCAGCTGAAGCTAGGCAGGTCTCTGTCTGGCCAGTTCTTGAATGGGGAGAACCCCATGTAATTACCGTATTTTTCGCTCCATAAGGCACACCTCACCATAAGACGCACGTATTTTTTAGAGGGGGAATGCAAGAAAAAAAATTAAGGGACTGCTGAGCAGAGCCCGTATGAATCCCAGGCTCTGCTCAGCTCTCCCTTTCACGAGCCGCGAGGAGCCTGTGTGCGGCGCTTGCAGGCTTTTCCCCAAGGAGGGAGAAGGGCAGCCCGTCACTGACGGGCTGACTTTCTCCCTCCTCAGGGAACAGCCCCCAAGAGCCGCACACACGCTCCACGCGGCTCTTTAAAGGGAGCGCAGCTCTTGGGGGCTTTTCTGGGAGGTGGGGGAAGGGACAGAGCTGTGCGCTCTGTCCCTTCCCCCACCTCCCGCAAAAGCCAGGGATAGCCTCGCGAAGCCTCCACAGGGCATGGGGATGAAGGCTCCCCGTGCTTTCGGAGGCTTCACGCGGCTAAGCCAGAAGCTAGAACAGCTAGAGGGAGTGCTGCACACACACATTTCCCCTTACTTTTTAGGAGGGAAAAAGTGTGTCTTATAGAGCGAAAAATACGGTATATCATCTTGAGAGTGGGAAAGGGGTATGACATAGCAGCCAACTAAAATAAAGGGCTGAAATTCCTTCGATATGAAGAAACGTTAAAATGTCTGGAGCTTTAGAAAAAGGTGTTGAATAAGGGGAGACGTGATTGGGGTTTAACAAATTATCCGGTTGATAGAAGTGGGGAGGGGAAATCACAGGGGAGTATTGTTTGCCTTTCTGTCCTGCTTGTGGACTTCCTGACTGGCCACTGTTGGGAGCAGTGTTGACCCCTGGCTCAAATCCAGCAAGGGGTTTCTTGTGGTCTTATCATTCTGTCCTCAAAGTCCCAAGTGTCATTGCAATCCTCAATCCATTTTCTGACACATTTTTCCTCTCTGAGGATCATGCAGCTACACTATTTTTGGCAGCTAGCTGAAAATAACTTCCGCTGGCATCGAGAAGGTAGTGGTAATTTGGAAAATTCAGGAGAACTTTTAAAAAGTGATAAAGGGCTGGAAAGGAACTGAGAATGTTTTCATCTAAAAAGAGGTGGCATGTGCACCTCTTTAAAAATAAAGCATGTAAAAAAGGGGGGTGACACTTGTTTATCCACAACATAAGAAGTAATGGGGTTAAACTGGAAAAAGAAAGCTTCCAAACTATAAGGCCTGCTTGTCCGAAGCGCAAGCCATCCAGAAAAAGCTCAAGAAGAATCTGTTAGGAATGAATTCATGTGATTCTGGGATTGCAGCCACAATGAATTTACTGTGCTATTATTCACAATATGTCTAAAAGTATATGTGGAATGAAAGAGTTTTATAATAGAACCAAAAGTGCACCAAGGGTTCTGGTGTTGACGTAGTTCAATTCACCATTATCACTTCTAGTTCGTATTTAAGGTTTCTGTGAATTCAAACATCACAACAAAGGAAGCTTAGCCAAGATTTGATGTAGGGTTGCCACCAACAACTTATCTGTCTGAATTTTTGCTGTTTGAAATATAGCAGCCCTATTTGATGTAATATATGCATTGGCAAATCAGTTTATAGTAAGCCAGTAAACCAGAGTTAAAAATCATATTTTGAATTGAGCTTGTAAATAATTATTTTACAAACACTGGTTTGGCATGCTGTCTGAACTGGCAAATAATTGATACAACAGTTGCTTTGGTTGCTGACCCATAGAGGCACCAATGACCTCATGAATTTACAATGCTAGGTGCTTACAGGATGGAAAATTAAAGTAGGAATGCAGCTCTAAAACCATGGTTTGTATGTTGGAAGTTCAAAACATAGTTTCAGTTCTATACTATGATTAGCACAAACTATGGTTTGCTATGTCTCAACTGAACTGCTGGTGGCTGCGTTTTTATGTATTACAGAAGCAAAATTACCCTGAGCAAACTCAACTTATGCTTTTAGAAAGTATACAAACATGACTAGTTTTGCCAGTATGTGTATGGGATTGGGCAAGAGAACATGCATTCCAAGGAAAGCATGAAAAACAGGCACATCATCCACTTTCCATGCAACTGCATGTGCATTTGACCCACAGTTCCTGATCTAAAATTTTTTAAGTGGAACGGATTTCCTTAACTGGAGCAGTATGAGGAGTTGCAGCAGCGTTGAAATTAGACTTACATTGTACTTTTTCTTCTAATCAGCAAACTTGCTCCTAGCTTCCTTTTCTTATTGGTCGGCTTTCCTTTTCTTTCTTGGACATTTCCCATGAATTCTTGCTTCTCTGTATTTTTGAGAGAGGTCAGAATGTCTTTCACTATGTAGTGTAACTAATGTACACCTCATGGCCATATTTGCAAACAGCAGCAGCTTAAATGTTGCAATTGTACGCTTAATTTACATCTGGGTTTCTATAAAAATAATTGTGATAATATATAATGGCTTTTCTATATCCTGAGGCATCTTAGTCCTCTTGAATTAGAAAGTCATTCTCTGAGAAAACCCATTGAATTTGAGGGATCTCAGTTAATCATGACTGATGTCCATTGAATTCAATTGGTCTACTCAAGAGTATGTTGCAGCTCATTGTTGTCTTCTGCTGATATGACTGTGAAGCTGCACAACTACCCTTTAGCATAGACAGTCCCACTGAATATATTTGAAGAAGAATAATAGCTGTCCCATTAATGGATCTTTTGGAAATGCCCTTGTTCAAAATTCAACAAATTGCAAGCACTCATGTTTCAGTTATGATCATTTAGAGGGATCTTTAAGATATTTGTCAAGATAATTCCTTTTTTAAAAAAAATTGAGAGGGATTTGAGTGCCTACCAATCAAAATATCTCAGGCTGAGTCTATATATGTGCCTTGCCAGCATCTACTTGTGTTTTCTGGGATTTGTGACCTCGTTTGTGACATATCTTCTGTGTCATATAGAATAAAAGCTCACAAAACTGTACAAAGCCCTTAATACTTTTATCCATGGTATTAAATTCACAATCAGGAAAGCAAAAGGGGGGCTTTCCCCACAAAAGTATATTCTTACAAATATGGTGCAGCTTCTAATCAATTTTTATGTAAGATTGGCACAGGGTGAAATCTTTAGTGAACTTGAAAATGGAAGAGTGATATTCATCACTTAAGTGTTCATTTGCAAGTCCAGTTCTTAGAATACAGTCATAACTGTTCCGCATGTATGCTCCTAATGTCTGAGCCAACTGCTTATTTCTACCAGTAGGTATGTGGTCAATATCTCATCTAAGACTACTTTAAGGTTTTTGCAGGAATTGGGACTTCCCTTCCTATTTTTTAATGTTTGGGCCAGTTATGCATTTCATTTTGGTTTAATATTTCATTTATTGAGATCATTTCTGTACTGATTTACATTTTTTGAAGAAAAAAGACTATTGAGAGATTTGCAGCATCTCTCTTAAAGCATTACAAATATGTTATAAATTATAAGAATAGAACATTATAGCCAATGCTTTTCTCTGCCGCTTTGCTTCTGTGGTTGAAGCACTGTAGGTGGGAGATCTATAGTTAATTAAGGAAATAGGGGTGCCCCACAGGCTTCTGGGAAGAGGATGCCCCCAACCTTAATGGCCCGATGGAGACTGGCCAAAGATGGACGTGAGGCCAGCACCTTACCTTGGAGGCAGCAGTGGGCACTGCTGGGACTACATGGCAGAAAGGCTCTCCTTCAGCACCGGGTACTTGGCTTCCAGGCAGGCCTTGCACACAGCAAGCACAAGAAAGGCCAGCGCATTGCCTGCCTGCCCAGCCTCCCACTAGTCTGTCCATTCCCAACAGCAAGGGCTGGTGGACTGGCTGGCTGGGCTCCCTCACCCACCTGCTTGCTAACTCAGCTGAGGCCACCTCAGCTCCTGGCAACCAGCACCCCTTGGCCAGCCCCAGAGGCACCATTTGCCTGGGGAGGTTGTAGTAATAATTATTATTATTATTATTATTATTATTATTATTATTATTATTTATACCCAGCCCATCTGGCTGGGTTTCCCCAGCCACTCTGGGCGGCTTCCAACAAAGTATTAAAACACAGTGGTCTGTTAAACATTAAAAGCTTCCCTAAACAGGGCTGCCTTCAGATGTCTTCTAAATGTCAGATAGTTGTTTATCTCTTTGACATCTGGTGGGAGGGCGTTTCACAGGGCGGGTGCCACTACCGAGAAGGCCCTCTGCCTTGTTCCCTGAAAATTGGCTTCTTGCAGCAAGGGAACCACCAGAAGGCCCTCGGCGCTGGACCTCAGTGTCCGGGTAGAACAATGGGGGTGGAGACGCTCCTTCAGGTATACTGGACCAAGGCTGCTGCAACAGACAGCTGCACAAGCCTTGAGGAGGCAGAGATGTGAGAGGGCATAAGAGGAGGGAGGGGAGGAAAGAGGGACAGAGGCTAGTTAGTTGCCCGCGGCACCCCTGACCATCATTCAAGGCACCCCAGGGTGCCATGGCACACTGGTTAAAAACACTGAAATAATCCTTTAATGTGAAGTGAATACACAGTTGCCACTGCTAAAAGAATCGTGGAGTTTGAGGCCAGACCCAGCATCAATCTGCTTTGGTGGAGTAAAAAAATGCCTTTCTGAAGTGAAACAACCGCACTTTTATACACAACCATGTCTAAGAAAACTCTGGTGGCCTGGCTTGTGTTTGTTTGCTTGCTTGCTTGCTTGCTTGTTTGTTTGTTTGTTTGTTTGTTTGTTTGTTTGTTTGTTTCTTGCTTGTTTGCTGAAAAGCAGCAGGAGGGAGCCGTTCTCAGTTGAGAAGCAACTGGCAGGAAAAATATAATCAAACCGTTGCTTCCGCTCTGCAAAATCACTAGCGTCCAGAATTGCTTTTCGGCAAAGAACTGGGCTGTGATTTCATTCAATTGCATATCTTGCCTCGTGTGTCCCTGTCATGTCATTTTGCTCCTGCTTCCTTTTGTTCCATTTCACTCATTCCTTGCTTATTCCCTTTTGGCTCACTTTTCCGCTCCTCACCCCTTCCCAACACTCACTCTCTGCTCATTTTCCTCCCTTCCCCTTGTTTCCAGCTCTTCTCCGTGATGCTTTCTTCAGAATGCTTTCTCTTCTGTCCCAACTGTCATCGCCAACTGCTTCAGAATACACTTGAGTCCAGAGTTCTGCCCTTTCCTGCCTCCCTCCCTCCAAAGTGTGAGATAGCCACCTCCCTAAAGGTTCCTTTTGGGTTCGAAAAGCGAAGGAAGATGTCCTGCTTACTCGTCATTCGCTGTGCTTTCTTATTACTTCCGTTCTGGGAGTTGAGCTGAAATACAGCCACTGTGCTGAATTATTATTTTCACTTGAGCTGGAATCACAAGCATAAAAAGTAAAATTTTGCCCTGTCCGTTGAACCTGAATCCACTCCCCGTGGAGGACTTAACGGCCTGTCAACCAGATTTTGACCTGCCATGGTGCCACTAAACTCCTGTGAAAAGGACTGGAAAAATCCCAGAAATTGTCAGCTGCCTAAAATTTGCTTTGGTGCCAAATTTCCATCCTTCAACAGGACTCGTACTTTTTTAAAAAAACAACAACCGGAATAGCCTTATTCTGACAACTAAAAATCTGCAGTATTTTATGCCCACTTTTGCAACAGCAAAATTCTGGGATAAGGCAGACTTAATGGTTCTTATTGATATTATTTGAGTCTACCATAAGAGACCCTTGCCTTCATAAGGTAGCCTATATGTTTTGTAATGTGTACCAATCACTCCTACAGTCTTCAAAATGCCAAATGCTGTGTTGCGGCATGATGGCATTAAGAACACTGAGCCTTCAACAGCTAATTGCATGCGTTAATTTAAGAATGGCACTTCCTATATTCAAAGCTATCCAATGCCTGTTGGATTGTTAATAGATTTTGATGAGGCATATAAAGAAATGTCACTGACAAGTTGGAATAAGTTTTCATTAAGCTACATGTTCATATTTCCCACCCCCTTTCATATTTAAAGAGAAATGCGCTGTTATTGCTATGTTAAAAGCTATAACTGACTGCAATTAATCACAATAGTTTTACACTTCTGTTGTGGCCAAACTGAATTAACAAGTTCTAAATCTGTCCAGCCCTGTCTTTATTGCCTTTTAGATAGTGCCATCTGATGTAGGGGTGGTATTGAATTAAGTTATACTCAAAGCAAAAATAAATGCAAATGGGGTTAGGTTTGTTAATTTCAGTTACTCAGTTTCTGAGTACAACTTAGTTGAATGCCACCCTAGGAGACTGGGGTTTTAAGGAATCTCGATACTTAATCCTGCCTGTAGCATATTGGGTGGCCTTTAGGATAATAAAAAAAAAAGCACCTCCCTGATTGATTTTGTTTTATCTGTAGCACTGAGGTGATCACCCAACCCAAAAAGCACGGTTGAATATATGCAAACTCTCACAATGGTTATTGCTTTGTGGCCTTCATTTGAAAAATGCATTGCTACAACTACTTTTGGAAGAGAACACCATTTATGTGTAGCTAGGTTTTAGGTGATATTTTCAGAGTGAATTATTCATAAAATATCCTGTACTTTTTATTGTATATGTTGGCTTCATAGCTAAAGTTATGGTATATGATCCGGTTATCTAAAATGGTAAGATCTAGTCACTTAAATTCTTAATGGCACAGACACTTTGTTTACTTAATCCATTTTTAAACCACCCTTCATCAATTAAGTTCCTAAATTCAATAAAACAATAGCATTCAATATCATTGAGTTGGAAGGAACCCAAGGGCCATCTAGTCCAACGCCTTGCAATGCAGGAATCTCATCTAAAGCATCCATGACAGATGGATATTGATACCTTCTATATATCTATATCTGTATCTATATATCTATATCTATATCTATATCTATATCATCTATATCTATATCTATCTATCTATCTATGAAGCAACTTAAACATAAAATCTACATCACAAAAAAACCTTAAGATTAGTTTTGTGGGAGATCCCAGTTCCTCTAGTGAGAATTGTTGTATTCAGTTATTTCAGACTGAGCAGGAACCTAGACGGTTAATCACTGAATTATGAGTGCATCACTAAGAATATTGCCATCTAATGACTATGACTGCAGCTATTGCTAGAGCATGTAACATCTCCAGCAGGCATTGTGCATGGGTTTTGGTTTTGGTTGTCATCGTATGGATTTTGTATTATGAACCAATTCGCAACAGTTGTGGTGCCCGGAACACTCATGTAGATGATTTTAGGTGATGGACAAAATATGGTCACATTGTGCATTCAGTGAGAATGATGCTGACTGTACACATTGGAGAGGGGAAGGAAATAGTCTTTCTTCTCTCCAGCCTACAGGATTTGCACATTTATTTATTATTACATTTATATCCACCTTGCCTCCATGTGGTTTCTCCCCCTCCCCATTGTATTCTCACAACAACCCAGTGAGGTAGGTCAGGCTGAAAAACAGCTGTTGTCCCAAGGTTGTCCAATGAGCTTTGTGTCCGAGTGGGAATTTCCACCCTGGACTTGCAATTCTTAGTCCAACACTAGTGGTGAAGGGGGGTCATCTCTGCTGAGAATGTTGCCTGTATCATAATAGCTAACTCTTCACAAATCAAAAGCGCCCATAGAATCTCATTCTTCCTGGATAATTTGTGAGCTGTTTCTTACGTAACACACAGGCATGCAGTGAGAACAGGTAGGGCTAGAAAGAAGAGGCTGAATGAGCTTGTGATTTTGACCCGGGCTGTTTTGCGAAGCCACTTTAAATATTTGCAAAACCCACAACGAAACTATTTGCAGGCCTGCATAGTTTGTGCATAACTCGGCATGTTACAACCAAACTTCATGTTACTATGTACAGATCTTGTAGGGATTTAGGGGATCTTAACAGGACTAGCGCTGCCGACTTTTTGTTTCCTTATTTCCCTAGAAAACCGCTAGGGCTTACACGCTGGAACGGGTGGTACTACATTGTGGTTGCTGAACTTGGAACGTAGGGTGGTGTTAGACAAGGCAGTGGAGCGAACCAGACAGACTTGGAAGAAGTAGCTGGCCTAGCTCACAAGGCTTCCTTTCTGATGTATGGAGGGTGTTAAGAACTGGACACATACAACATCTCTCTGATTTCAGTGGGTGGCTAACCTGTGGCCTTCCAGCTATCGTTGGACTACAACTCCCATCGTCGCTAGCTAGTAGGATCAGTGGGAGTTGTAGTCCCAACAACAGCTGGGGACCAAAGTTTGAGAAACGCTGGCCTAGCTCCACACACTCCAAAGCATTTGCTGATCACTAGTGTCTGTGGTAGGTAGCATAGCATCAGTTCCCCCACCCACTGCTGCCATTAAGGGTCTCCTTGGTTCTTGCTTGGAAGCACAGGCGCCTACTATCCCTGACCATTCAAGCTACTATGGGAACTGCGTCCATAGAGGTGACTCTAAGAAGAGATTTACAACATGAGGAGTTGTGAGAGAAGAGAAAGTACCAGTTGCTGGAACCGCAGGAGGGGAGAGCGTTCTTGTGCTCAGGTCCTGCTTGTGCGTTTCCTACCTTGGCCACTGTGAAAACAGGATTCAGGAACGTAGTGTACCTTGATTTCAGTAAGGCTTTTGACAAAGTTCCCCATGTCTTGCGGAGAAGCTAGTACAATGTGTGTTCAGACTGCACCTGGAGTACTGTGTCCAGTTCTGGGCACCTCAATTTAAGGAGGGTATTGACAACCTGGAACATGTGCAGAGGAGGGTCTGGAACCAAGCCTTATGAGGAACGGTTGAAGGAGTTGAGTGTGTTTAGCGTGGAAAAGAGGAGACTGAGAGAAGATATGATATCCATGTTCAAATATCTAAAGGGCTGTCACATGGAGGATGGAGCAAGCTTGTTTTCTGCCTCTCCACAGGGGAATAATAATAATAATAATAATAATAATAATAATAAATTTTATTTATATCCCGCCCTCCCCAGCCGAAGCCAGGTAGAACCTAAACCAATGGATTCAAGTAAAAAGAAAGGAAATCCGGACTAAATATCAGTAACATTCTGATTGTAAGAGCTATTCAGTGGTGGATGTAGTATCCGGAAGTGCATGGTGGCAGAAGAAGAGAGCAGGTCATCTCCTCCAGGGTCTCCTTATGAACCTCTTCCCATCTGCATCTGATCCCTGTTGAAGGCAGAGAACACTAGATGGACTCTTTGTATGATCTAGCAAGCATTTACCATAGCAGCACTCACAATATTGATTCTGATTATCCAGTCAGGATGCTCCGCAACTTCTTGCAAAGCAAAGCCGTTATCTAGATGCGATGTGTTCTTGTGTAATTTAAAAATTCAGAATTGGCCACAGATTTTTCTCTTGCAATTGAATCCTATTCTCAAGGTCCTGCTCTCGGCTGAACAGTAATACTGTTTGTACACAACGTGATAAGGACTCGAGAACAGTTTGTGCTGATCTTTACCTGAGAGCAGCTACCATGTCCCTCACATTCGCAGTCTTATGTTAGCAGGAACTGTGTACGGTTGTGGTTTTTCCAGGTCCCAGGCATTGTTTCAAAGGAGGATATTTTTCAAGGCTTGTCAGTACCTCCAGCACACGAAGCAAAACGTAGTTAAGCTTGCATTGACCCAAGCAAACCTGGGTGGAGGGTTTCCATAGTTCTGTCAAGTTTCAACAAAACACAAACCTGCCTTCTTGCCTCTGCATCTCCACAGGGAACTTGCACACAGCAACAGAGGCTACACTTTCCAGTTTCTCCACGTCCCTCCTCTTCCAGTGACCCTGTCGTTGCAAAAGCAACCGGCACGACAATTTCAGAATTCCAAAGTGGCCTAAGCGAAATGTGAAACTTGCAGTAGTCAATGTACAATGAGTTCCTCCCTCGTGTAACGTCAGGAATAAAAAGCTTGCCTACTAGGGACAGACATTCGGGGCCACCTCAAACTCATTTGCAACTATCTCCTGGACAGATAATATGGAAAAATTGCAGATCCTTCCAAGGGTCCCTATTTTCCAGGGACAGTCCCTGGTTTACAGAACCTGTCCGTCCCGGTTTCTGATTTGATCCCGGAATGCCCTGCTTCTCCTTAGGATGTCCCTGTTTTCATCCAAGAAGAAATGTTGGAGGGTGTGGAATAGGATGTCCTTATTTTCATCGGGTAACTGCTGGAGGGTAAGGTAAAGGTAAAGGGACCCCTGACCATTAGGTCTAGTCGTGACGGACTCTGGGGTTGCGGCGCTCATCTCGCTTTATTGGCCGAGGGAGCCGGCGTACAGCTTCCGGGTCATGTGGCCAGCATGACTAAGCCGCTTCTGGCGAACCAGAGCAGCGCACGGAAACGCCGTTTACCTTCCCGCTTGAGCGGTACCTATTTATCTACTTGCACTTTGACGTGCTTATGAACTGCTAGGTTGGCAGGAGCAGGGACCAAGCAACGGGAACTCACCCCGTTGCGGGGATTCAAACCGCCGACCTTCTGATCAGCAAGTCCTAGGCTCTGGTTTAACCCACAGCGCCACCCACGTCCCCTGGAGGGTAGGTAACTGTAATTGTCATGTGACATCACATCCGGTTTATGGTATACAAGCAGCAGCAAGGCTTGTTGGGGAGTGACTCAAGTGCCCATTATGTGTGATGATGGACATTTGGTTTCAAGGATCACATGGCTCATAAGTCACTCTCAGCAGCTACAGACTGGAACTAGAGACTGGAAGGACCTATCAGGAGTGAATATAGACCCCCGGTACAAAAATGTATGGGAAACTGCCCTACTAGGGAATTTAGCCAACTTTAACTGGCATGGGGACAAACAAAGCAGAATGCCTTCATCCTGGTGTGGCTCCCCTATATCACATATACAGCACAACAATACAATGACCTATTCCCCCCCCCAACAGAATATGAATAAATATGGCTTATCTGAGCCAACAACACACACATCCCTTCACACATGCAAACAAACCACACAGCAACCAAGCAAACACAAACAACCACGCTCTGGACACTCTAATCTCTCGCAATGCCAATAAAAATAAATATAAAATCTAAATATATAAATACGATAGGCTTCTGGGAAATGATACATAATGAATTTTAAAAAGATGTTCAAAATAGCCATTCCCAAGAGGCCTGAAGCATTTCTTCCAAAAGGTGCTACTATATATCTGTGTGTTTTGTTTTGAGCCGCCCAGAGTGGCTGGGGAAACCCAGCCAGTTGGATGGGGAATAAATAATACATTATTATTGTCAGGGGTTCAGGGACAGAGGCACAGGGTAGGCAGGAGATGGAGAGCGATGGGGATGAATCCCAGGACAGCGAGGAAGAGGATGACAATGACTCAAGAGATTCCATGAGTCTTTCCAGCGAATCAGAGGATTCCCAGAAGGGGGCACCGGTGGTCAAGGCCAGGAGCCCCAGGGGGACGTGTCAGGAGCAGGGGGCCAGCGGGGATCCCAAAGTGGCAGCTGGGCGTCAGGACCAGCCTCCCCGCCAGAGTGCAGCGAAGGGGGTGGAGGTTTCAGTGTATCGGGGAAGCGGCTCCGGCAGCAGAGAAGGGAGGGAGGTCGGAGCAAGCCACCCTCCGGGAAGGGGAGGGAGTAGTGAAGGGAGTAGTGTAGCTGTTAAAAGGAAGGTTAGAGGTTGGGCGCGCGCGCATGGTTCAAATGTAGAGGCGCGCGGAAGTACAGGGAGCCCGGAGGAGGGGCCAGGTCCCAAAGCCCGCAGGAGGGGGCAAGAGCAGTCTGGGGATTCCGCGTCAGAGGAATCCAGGAGGGGCGAAACCCCAGCGGGCAGAAAGACCCTGCGGAAAAGGAAAGAGAGAAAGAGGTGGAGCAGCGCAAGCCTCTTAAACTGGTGCAGGGGAGGGACGGATTCAGAGAGGACTTCAGCGGTCTAAGCGTAGCAGACGTAGGGCTGCGCGCCTCGGATGTGAAGCAATCAATGAACTGCAATAAACACTTTTGTATATAAGAAGAGATAGGCGTTGGTCTTTTGTGAGCTGAGACTTGAGGCAGCCCTGACAATTATTATTATTATTATTATTATTATTATTATTATTATTAAACTGTCACCTAAGTAACCAACTCGCAGGGCAAATTGGTTCTTCCAGGGACCACCAGCTGATATCATCTTTGCTCTTGCTGCTCCCCAAAGAATGAATCAAAGGGCTAGCGCCCTTCGGTGTTGCTCCTGCAGTGGAAATCTTCTGCCATTCACAAACCCATAGTAAAGAGTTCCTGAGTCCAAGAGCTTCCTCTTCTCACTCTGCAGGGATAATTGATGGTGGACATTTCGTTTGCTTTTACAACGTCTGTTTCTGCATTTCCTCAATTGCTGAACATAGATTTAATTATTACCCCCCCACACACCTTTTGAACCTTTGTCTCGTTTATTTAGCTGACACTAGGCAATGCAAAGCCAGCCAGACAGATCTGACCCACCCAAGTCTTCCCCAATAATCCTGGAAATGCTTTATTGGAGAATAACCTGTCTTCAGGTGGAAGAAATTGCCAGAGATCTGATGATGTGTGCCAGCCTCAGTACCAGCCCATGACATTTTGTTGGAGTGGAGCCGAAGTAGAACACACACACACACAAACGCACACACCAGCAAGGACCATCCCTTCCTTTTTAAAAAAAGTCTTGCTGCACCATCCAGACACTGATTCCTGCTTTCATCTATTCCCACCCCCCCACCCCTACTGCCTTCATGGTGCTGTCTGAGCTTCACCCTGCAGCAGGGCAGGGCCAGCATTTTGGGAAACAACCTAAAGACAGAGGTCATTGTCACAGGGAGGTAGGAAACAGTCCCAATCAAAAGAGGCTGGCTATTGTGGGGGTGTCTCTGGCAAAATGGGAATCTCTTGCTGCAAATGATGCACGAGAGGCATTGCTCCAGGCTGATTAAAACAGCAGAGATGAAAACCACGTGTATCCCTTTCCACAGGCATGACTCAGTTTTCTGAAAAGCGGAGTTATTGTGCTCCACGCTGATGAGGGCAAAACCTTAGGAAAACGATATATGTTGGCTAGCTCTGGGTGAAAATTGTACCCAAATACGCTCAATAACAAATCTCACAATACAATGTCCTCCTCTTTAAAACAGCTGCATGAAGGAAAAGCAGGGGAGCTCAGGGTCTCCTCGGACTGACAGATTCACAGATTTCTGATACCCATCATTAAATGGCAGCTATTTCACCCATGTTGTTTTCTGTACCTCCCAGTTAGTAAAATCAACTTAAAGGATGTGTTCTACTTGCTTGAAGGAACCTCCAGCCTGCCTGCCTGCATGTGTGATGTGCTCCACCTTTCCCATGCCTGATGTCATCTAAGACGTCAGAAGCCAGAAACGTCCAGCCATGGCTTTAAACGTAAGCTAAATATGGAGAAAAAGCAGGAATGCACTTTTAAGTGTCCTCCCAATTCTCTGCTTCAGAAAGATGGTGCTTTTTGAATTTGGCACCTTATTCTGTTGCCCTCCCAATCCTTTCCTTTGAAGTCGGGTCACCTGATAGCATGGTGATGCCACAGGAGATTGACAGGTGGGCGGACCCATCAGTCAGAATGGCCTGGCGTGGAGTCTGCCAGCCACATCCTGTTCTCTACCTGGCTTAAAGGGAAGTTGCAGCTTCAATATTCCTTGCATATCTAGTCCTTCTGTAATCAAGATCAATAGTAATATTGCTGGTAGCCTGAAGAGAAGTTCCCAGGAGCCTGGGGTTTATTTTGTTTTTAAACATCCCATTAATGTTAAAGTAATGTGTTCATTAAAGAGACTCACCCATCCGCTGCCGATTCGCAAACCTGCAACGTGGGGGGTAGCTGTGCAGCAAGAGGCTGGAGTGATCAAGGTTTGCGCAAGGAAGAGAAATGCTCCCATCCACCATGCAAATACAGGATCTACTGGATTCTGTACCATGAGAATGAGAGCCCCGGTGGGTGAGCAGTCACAGGTATACAAGCAATCATTTCGTAAAGGGAAACCTATAAAAGTGTGATCACAAGATGGGAGAATGAACGTGCAGAGGGCAAGAGTTTGGCAAAACACAAATGTGCACACTCGGCTCCAATCAATGTAACACCTCTTCTTCATCACACCTGAACCAACCTGCCTTTCCCTAGGAACAGAGGAAATTGCCATACTCTAATTCAGGGGTTGTCAGCCTGGTCCCTACCGCCCACTAGTGGGTGTTTCAGGATTCTAGGTGGGCGGCAGGGGGTTCTACGGCACAAGTTGAATCCTCCTTCCATCGAGCACTGGTGGGCGGTAAGGAAATTTTACCATCAAGAAAGGTGTATTAGTGGGCAGTAGGTATAAAAAGGTTGACCACTCCTGCTCTAACTACTGGGAATATTGGTATGTTATAGAGAAATTGCGGCAGCGACCAGAACGCCTGGATCATTTGGGTGGCGGTGGGACAACCTTCAGCCTTCCTCATTTGCTTTAACTTTTGCATACGGTTTGAGTTCCATCCCATATAAGACCACCCAGTTTTGGGGGGTTTTGATAAGTTGTCCCATTAACACGGGTTTCAATGTTTTGATAATGCAACTGGTTGCTTTAGGAAGGCCTTCCTGCAGCTTCTCTGATGCATCGTTTGGGCACAGCGCAGATTTCCCAGCAGGCTCAGAACTTTAAAAATAGACTGGCAAATTAATGCTTCCATAAATGGACGACAACCCCTTGATACACAGGTTGTGGGATTATTCCAGAAGTGGGTTCCCCCCCCCCTTTCCTACTTGGATAAGCACAGCATGCAGAACTTTAATCAGAGACAAGAGCCTTACTATGAATAATTTGGCACTAGATCGGCTTCCCCGAAACACAGAGAGCACTGCAGGCAGCAGACAGGCTCCTACCACTGTGGCAAAGGCTGACTTATTATAGGCCAAAGAAAGTTAAGCCTCTCAACAGCATGCAAGGCATCAAGGGGCAGGATTCAGCCAGTTACCCTAGCACAACTTTTAGCTGTAACTTTTAGCTAAAACTTTTAGTGTAACTTTTTCTGCTTTCATTCCCTGCATGCCCCCTATATCTGCTCTGAGGGTTCCCTCAATTCATTGCAGTAACATAAAATAAAGTATTGCCTTCTTTATTGTTTAAGAATTGTTAATATTGTTTGCCACTGTTTATGCGGCTGGTACGCTTTTCTTTGTTTTGCTTTTCCATGGATGTGATATTAAATATGAAGATGATTCCCCATGGCAGCTGGGATAGCTCAGTCGGTAGAGTGCGAGGCACTTAAATCTCAGGTTCGGGGGTTCAAGCCCCACCTTGGGCAAAAGATTCCTGCATTGCAGGAGGGTGGACTGGATGACCCTCGGGGGCACCCTCCAAGTCTATAATTCTCCCCCCCCCCCCCGCTTTTCCCCTTATGGTATTATGTACTGTATATTTTTATTTGCTGTGAGCCACTTGGAGACCTTCAGGGGACAAAAGTTTCATATAAATAAACTAAAATAAAAATAATAAAATAAAATCCAGTAAGTTTTGTAATTGATTTTATTCCTAGGGGCTAGGGGAGCCAGTTTCTGTGCCAGCTCAGATCTTTATATAAACACACAAGACGTAACCGGCTGTGCTTTTGAATAAATAAAGTATACTATTCATTGTATCAAATTGTAGATTTCAACGGAAGTCTCATAAAGTTCAATGAAAAAAGCAGAAGACCCAGTGGATCAGTTCATTCTCCAGTCAGTTCATGCATAAGGTCCATACATGTATAAGTGTCTATTCTACCTGTCTGTTCATAGAGTCCAATAATATACATGAAGGGTTGTTGCAGTTTCACAGAATCTAAGACAAGGATTTCCGGAATATTAGCCTTGTTTCATCACCCTAGGCTGCAACTACTACTATGCTATAAGATCCACTATCCTGTAATACAGTGGTACCTCGGGTTACATACGCTTCAGGTTACAGACTCCGCTAACCCAGAAATAGTGCTTCAGGTTAAGAACTTTGTTTCAGGATGAGAACAGAAATCGTGCTCTGGCGGCGCGGCAGCAGCAGGAGGCCCCATTAGCTAAAGTGGTGCTTCAGGTTAAGAACAGTTTCAGGTTAAGAACGGACCTCCGGAACGAATTAAGTACTTAACCCGAGGCACCACTGTAATATTACATATGAGCCTATTCTACTGATGAAGCCTAGGATGACGAAACAAGGCCATTTTCCAGAAGTGACGCTTTGTTTCCCCCCTCAAAATGCACCACACTTGGGGCGTGTGGAATCCCTCAAACGCTGAGCCCAACCCAAAGCCCCTTAAAAGCTGACAAGTCAAGTAGATGAAGTTGCCTGAAGAGGTCCAGCGAGCGACGAACTCCGACGCCCCCATGTACTTGACAACTGCCAAAATCGTGTCTGCTGTACGTATGGCAATAGCAAAGTTCATCGCACAGCGAACAACCATCCACATGCCTGGTTTTGTGACGGCATTGCCATATGGATACAGAAAGGAAAATGTCAGTTCATCCCACCCACCACCATGCCGATCTACAGATCCCAAAAGGGAGGTAAATTTAGGTTGCATGTCTTTTTCAATCTTCTTTAAATAAAAGAGAAGTTCAGGGACACAAGCAATAGCCAACAAGCATTTTCTGTCCAAGGGGTTGGAGCTGGCTCAAGTCTGCAGGAAGCCAAACCTGGGTCTGTACCCTGGAAGGAACATTCTCCAACCCAGAATCTTCAGAGGTCAGTTGTAGGAGCCAGAACCTGAAATGTTGTAGGCAGAAGATCCTGCTGTAGTGACGATGGAAAAGCACGAATCAAGATCGCTGTTCTACCTAGCTGAGTATTCTTGATGTTGGCAGGCACTAGCTTTGACATTTAAAGCCCTAAGCGGCCTTGGCCTTTTATACCCAAAGGAGCATCTCCACCTCCATCGTCCAGCTCTGAGGGCCTTCTGGCGGTTCCCTCCCTGCGAGAAGTGAGGTTACAGGGAAACAGGGAGAAGGCCTTCTCAGTGGTGGCACCCGCCCTGTGGAACGCCCTCCCGTCAGATGGTAAGGAAATAAAGAACTATCTGACTTTTAGAAGACATCTGAAGGCTGCCATGTTTAGGGAAGCTTTAAATGGCCGAGGTTGTATCGTGTTTTTAATATTTTGTTGGGGGATGCATGGGGAGAAAAGAGAGAAGGAAAGACTCATTGCACAGCTGAAGGTCCTTGTGCTAACAGAATGACTGTGATGAATATTGCCTAGTATATTTATGGAATACAAAATGTACAAAGCTGCTTTCGTTTTTTAAAACTAAGCTTTTGCAAGTCGGGAAAAATCGGAGAGTTGGTTACAGAAACCACCCACACTGTAGTAAACAAAAGGAAGTTTTTATTATCTATACTTAATCTGTTATTCTTACTGTCATCATCAATCCAGAAAGAAAAGAAACTATATTTTTTAAAAAATCTGCAGCACCTGTTTACTGCTAAGTGACGGGAAGAAACATACAAGGCACAGTCTTGGTTTCAAACTGGTGCCAGCTCTTGGGGTGGGGGTGGGGGAGAGACCCCAATCAGTGCCTGTCTCCAGCCTTGACAGATCGTGGTATTAAGTAAATCTGGGTATTGTAAACAACTTCAAAGCAATGATGTGCCTACAAAATCAGCCACATGAATCCATGTATCATTTACAAAATAAGTAAGACATTTTCTCTAATAATAATCAGTTTTTGAAGATCCATAGCTTCAGATTCCAGACTTTCATTTTTATATCCATGGATTTCAGGGAACTGAAAGTTTGCAGAGATCGAAACAAACTACCTTGTGTCTTGATGTGATACGCAGTGCTAAAGTTAGCTAGCAGTTCCCAGTTTTCAGTTCCTCATCTGGACCAAAGTTCGAAAAACAACTCATTCAGAAGAGGAACTAAAGGGAATGAGCGAATTAGCTATGATCAGAGTAGATCCAGTAAAATCAACAGGCTAAATTTCAGTGGGTCTACTTTTCAGTAAGATTTACTTGGGCATCACCCAATATGCCCCAAGACCTCAAAATAATGTTTGCACTACCAAAAATCATAAGCTTCCATGACTGGTAAGACTCCCCCTTCAAGATCCACAATAAATGTCTACAGTCATAACAGTCATGTTTGCACAATGCTCATAAATGCACAATGGCCTCTGATAACAAATAAGGAACTGGGTGTGTGCACCTCCAAATCATGGGAACCATTTATTCAGCTTGTAGTATTTCCAAACAGAGACCAGTTCCCTTCCCACCTGCAGAAAATGGATGGAATCAGAAGCAGGTAAGAACTACAACATCCATTAGCTGCAGAAAATGATCAGGGATGATTGGAGGCCACAGGCTAGTCCCCAGCCCCACCCCAAAATAAGAGAGATGCTGTGGGTGTTCATTCATTGGAGAGGAGGCCTTGTGTGACAAATATCAAGTTTCACAGAGCTGAGGGGGTGCAGAAGGGAACTTTCTAATCTTGCCATTCTCAATTTGTCCCTTATGCCTCTTTTAGTAGGCTTATCTCCCTCTTCCTCCACTCCCCGTGACTTCAGGCATCGTTTTAAGAAAATTCCATCCATAGCAAAATATAATTTGGGCTGTTGGGATCTGGAGAGAAATGTTTGAACAAGCCTGTCATAAGCAGCTTCAGACAAAAGAACGATACCTTTTAATTTGCTTGGCAGGCTTCTCCTATCGAGGCACCAATCCAGTGCCAACTTTGCTGGAAGTTGGGGTCCCCACTGACACGGAGAGGATATTTTCCGAGTAAACAAGGCCACAGCTGTCGAGCTGTACACATCAAATACCTGCAAGGAACTCACTCCCCCCCAAAAAGTGTTGCAACTTTTCAAAAGGTCAACTCTCTACAAGTGGAAAACTGCAGCACCCTAAAGACCCAACTAATTTATTATGGCATAAGCTTCCGTGCGTGATGAAGCAAACCTTAGTCCACGAAACATTATGCCATAATAAATTAAGTCTTCAATTGCTGCAGGACTTGTTTCCCCCCTGAAACGCACTAAGGCAGGTACCCTTCTGGAAGCACTTTCAGGTAGAGGCCTCCTCACTCCCCATCGCAGCCACCTCTTTACAAAGACGTCCGTTTTTTCTTGCTCTTGAAAGCGTGCTGGTGAACTCTCAGCCGCTGATGAACAGAGGAAGCAGTCTTCATAGAAGTCTTCTTTCCAAAGGCTTTCCCCACGGCTCCAGGTTTCCATAGCAACAACTGCGCATCCTCTCCACCGGTCAGCAAAGAATCATCTGCCACGTTCCAGCAGAATGAGCGGACGGGAGCAAAGTGTCCCTCCTGAAGGACTCCTACAGAACTCAGGCCACCAACCCCACAGTCCAGGAGGCAGATGTTTCCTGATGACGTTCCCCCAACAACAACCAACTTGTCCATCGTTTCATGGTACAAGCCACCGATTAAGTAGTCCACCTCGGTGCTTTGTCCACTTCCTGCTTCTCGGGCGTCTGGAACATGCAGCAATGTGACTGGCTCCTCGGTCTCCAGCTGGGCGAGATCCCACCGACAAAACCCTTCGTCGTGCGTCGTGCAATAGACCTGCCGGTAATCTTTTCCGGACCACCCGACGGAACTGACCGACGAGTCCGAGTTGCAAGTAGCAACCAGCGCATCCTCTTCGCTGTCCTTGTTAATGTCAAACACGTTCACCAGCCCGTCGGTTGACCCAGAAACTACCAGGTTCTGTTTGATGGGGTGGAAACGAATTTTGGTGATGTCATCGTTGTGGGTCTCCGAGTAGAAGCCCAGAGGCTCTTTGCTGGAAGCTACACTACTCGCGCAGCTGCGAGCATCCCAGAAGGCCATGAACACATCGTCCCCCACTTTTTCCGTTCCAGCGCAGACTATGAGGTCGTTGCAGCTTACGTCAAAGCTAATGAAGACATTTGAAAGGGAGCCACGGAACAACTGCGTCGGCCCTGCGGTCGCCAAGCGCGTGTCCCAGCATTTCACTGTTCCGTCGCTGCAAGCGGAGAACAACACACTTTCACACGCGTGTGCGAATCGGACGCCGCTGAGCAGCCCGGGACGGCTGCTATATTCCCGCAGCAAAGTGAGCGTCTCTCTGTTGTAAACCCTGATTGATTTATCGGAACACGAAACGGCCACCAACTGGCTCCCTCCGCCTCTTGAAATATCCAAGTCCAACAGATAAGTGGGGTCTTTTGCCAGTGCACACCGTTTTGCTATTTGGAGACTGGAAAACTGCTCCTTGATCTTCTCCATAGCAACTGCGACTAAAACTGCATCCTCAAGAAGGTAGAGGTCTGGAAAATAGAAATAAGACCAAATTAAATAAGGTCTCCACTGTTAATCCTTTCAAGAGCACTTTTCGGCACAATAAAGGTTCCGCTAGTGGTTTAAATCAAGGGTAGTCAGCATGTTTATGCTTGAGAGCTGTTATTACTATCCTGACAGTGGTTTTGGGAATGGAGGGAGCATTGCGCTCTGGAAACGGACCTTTTCAAGTGCCATAATAAAGTTGGTGTCCTCCAACGGTTTGGAGTGTGTCCTCTGAGGCATAGCCAGGGCATTCCAAACAAAATCCAACAGAGATAGATATCAACACTTTAAAGCATGCCATTTCTCACTTTTTCCCCTTATGCTTGAGGTTTGGGGCAAACTTCAACCAGAGCCTGAATGCAATTATCCAGAGCCTTTATGGGCCAGGTGAAATTGGCCATTCCTAGTTTACAAGTCAGTGTAGAAGTAAATACTCCTAAAGGCCAGTTTTAAAACACTGCTAAGACCCAGGTAAGGGATGCGGGTGGCGCTGTGGGTTAAACCACAGAGCCTAGGACTTGCCGATCAGAAGGTCGGCGGTTGCGAATCCCCGCAACGGGGTGAGCTCCCGTTGTTCGGTCCCTGCTCCTGCCAACCTAGCAGTTCAAAAGCACGTTAAAGTGCAAGTCTCTGGCGGGAAGGTAAACGGCGTTTCCGTGCGCTGCTCTGGTTTGCCAGAAGCGGCTTAGTCATGCTGGTCACATGACCCGGAAGCTGTATGCCGGCTCCCTCGGCCAATAAAGCGACATGAGCGCCACAACCCCAGAGTCGGCCACGACTGGACCTAATGGTCAGGGGTCCCTTTACCTTTACTTTAAGACCCAGGTAAGAATAAAACCAATGCAACACAATACAACCCAAATCATCGTCAGCATAACATCGCCACTCAGTAAAAGATGATGGACTACTAGCAAACCACACAGGCAAAGACAAGCCAACTGACATCGTTGTGATGTCAGGTGACTGACAGGTGGGTAGCCCCACCTGCCCGTCCCTAAGGCATCTCCAGCCAAATGTTCCTCCAGTTTCCATTCAGAAGAAAAAGAAGTGATGAAGCCATCAGACATTTGAGGAGCATTTCCCTGGACTTCCTCAAGAGACATTGTGGAGATCTGGAAGGAGAACAGATCTGGAGTTCTTCCAGGGTACTATTGTATAAACCTGCACTTATGTTTCTTAAAATAATAAAAAAAGTCATTTCCACATTTTCTGGGGCAATGTTTACATGTCCTTGCTGTCGGAGGGCATCGCCTTCCAGAGGAAAGGGCAGCATCCCACACAATGGGGTAATAACCAACGAGGGTGTATTTTTGTCGACTGCCACATCTCATTAAGTCGCGCCGCGGACATGTGGCAAAATGTCAGCTGGTGAAAACGGAATCCTACCTCTCGTTAGGAATGCCCGGCTGAAGGTTAAACAAACAAGCCAGGCAGAGAGTCCAGGGTGTAGCCAGAGGCTCTTCCTCTTCGGAAGAGGAAGCCGCTGCGAGACTTTGATGGGAAGAGTTTCAATAGGAGGCAGGAGAAGGCCCTCCCTCCCCCCCTTCTACCCACTGGGTCACATTTATGGGAGAATTAGGGAAGTCGTGATCTTCCATGCACAATGGGAAATTAAGAGCTGGGAGGCAGCCAGCTGCAGACATTGCCAGGGCAGATGGGAAGCCTGCAAATGCAAGATCCAGTCTGCGGCTGCTGTTTTCACCTATTAATTTCAAGGTGATTAATCCCAGGGTTGTTAGTAGCTCGACTCCCCTTTTGCCTGCATTCCCCCCCCCCCTTCATATATATATCAAGTTTTTCTGGGCAAAACGCAGTTTCTGGATGTTATGAAAGAGGGAGTGGGTGGCTGTGTCAGGGAAAGAATACATGGCAAAGAGAGATCTGCATTGGCTCCCAGTACGTTTCTGAGCACAATTCAAAGTGTTGGTGCTGACCTTTAAAGCCCTAAACGGCCTCGGTCCAGTATACCTGAAGGAGCATCTCCACCTCCATCGTTCAGTCCGGATACTGAGATCCAGCGCCGAGGGCCTTCTGGTGGTTCCCTCATTGCGAGAAGTGAGGTTACAGGGAACCAGGCAGAGGGCCTTCTCAGTGGTGGCACCCGCCCTGTGGAACGCCCTCCCACCAGATGTCAAAGAGAAAAACAACTACCAGACTTTTAGAAGACATCTGAAGGCAGCCCTGTTCAGGGAAGCTTTTAATGTTTAGGTTATTTTAATATTCTGTTGGGAGCTGCCCAGAGTGGCTGGGGAAACTCAGCCAGATGGGTGGGGTATAAATAAATTATTATTATTATTATTATTATTAATTATTAAGGGTTAATGCTCAAGGCTCACGTTCAGTCCTCAGACCACACAGGGCGGGGTTAAACTGCCCCCAGAGTCCCAACTCTGGGTCCTGTTCCTTTGGCCCAATGTCCAACCGTTGAGTTGAGCACCTCGCTTCAGCAACCTCTATCCCGTAAATCATGGGCGGCGAAACCAGCTGCCTCCCCTCTGCTGTGGTTAGACTGCGATTCCCAACAGCCCCCAGCATGGCCAATGGGCATGGATGATGGAAGTTGTAGTCCAACAATACTGGCTTAAATACTGCTTTTCACACATCCCCCTGCTTTTCCCCTTTGTTTCAATCTGACTATCATCAAATCAGGAGGGAACTCAAAGGTCATCCATCACAAGAATAAGGAAGGCACATGCAGCACCCAACCGTGGGACCAAAGCCTCTCTCTGCCACAGACAGAGCCCTGTTCAGAGGTCAACAAATTTGGGGTTGCCTTAGTGACCAACAAACGGTTTGTCTTCGCCAGCACATGTCCCTGCTTGTCCCTGAAACAGAATTGTTCCGCCTGGCCTTTGGCTTGGAATCAGCTTGATCCCCTCCCCCTCTTTCCTTTTTCCTTCTGTGATGGAACTCATATTTGGGGACTTCCCTGGCTTTTTTCTGGCCCACGTAGTTACCAGTTTGGATAGTTGGCCTTGGTGAAGATTTGACATTTTTATCCCCAAAAAGTTTTTGATTTGAGTTTCTACTGAAATGAGGCTGCATTTTAATGTTGTACTTAATCTTGTTTTTAAGTTGTATTTTAATCAATTGTTTTTAAACCTGGTGTTAGCTGCCCTGAGCCCGGGGCTGGGGAGGGCGGGGTATTATTATTATTATTATTATTATTATTACGTCCCTGAAACAACCTCCTTGTTTTCTTCCTCCAGCCTGGAGCAACAGTGACCTGGAAGGGACAGAAACAAGCCCCCATGCACTCACTGAAGCCAAAGAGGGGCAACCGAAGTTTGCTCTAGATCTTTGCTTGCATCTTGCAGAGATCCACAACCAACTTCCAGACTTCCACCCAAGTTTGGGGCTAGGACCGTCAGCTTGTCTCTCTCACCACAGCCCAGCTGAACTCCCACCATGGTAGAGAAGCCAAGCTGGACTGTCAAACCATGGCCAGGTCTCTTGTCTTGCAGAGGGGACACCCCCTTCCACTCTGTTGCCTCTCCTGAAGTCACTATGAAATAAATAAACAAACTATCCACCCCCTAGCCTTGCCTCCAAACTCTCCTAACAAACATGGTTTGCTAAACTGCTCCAAGTAATCATTTCAAAGAAACTATGGTTTGTATGGATGGACATGACATGTGAAACCGTGGTTGGGAGGTAAAATTTGCTCCAAAGAGAGGCAAAGCTTAGCTTCCAGTTTGCAAACCACAGTTCACAGGGAGAAGACCTCAAAATGTTGTACCGGGTGACTAGAAGAATTAATTGGAATTCAATATTGAATTACTGGTCGCAAAGTAGTATTTGAAATACCATTTTCTCCAGGAGTATATTGGAGGTGATAAAGGACTATAAAACCTTCCATGGCAGGCTTGAAATATTGGTCCGCATAACTTTTAATGCTACTGGAATATAGTTATAGATGTTCAGTCATTGACACACAAGTTATAAACAGCATTTCTTCGGCTAAAGAGAGATCCGTGAGTCATTTAAATCCTACAAGGTTTTCAAAAATAGACCGGTGATTCATGAATTACACTCTTCTACCTCCCAGAGAATCTTTTGGCAACAATGCGGTTTTCACAATAGTTGCTGTCTCCCAAGAGCAGGGCCGCTGCGGCAAGTAACCACTGGAAAGCAAACCCCACGCAAAGCAGTGGTGTCGTCATATCTATGCCAAGCAAGGCTTGCGTCTGCCTGCGTTGAAGCACCAAGACCACACAATCTCTTTGCTTTCTCTCTCCTGCTGTCTCTCACCCTCCCTCACCATCGAGTGGCTCAGAACTGCTGCTTTAAAAAACCTCTTCCCCGTTTCTACTGCTGCCACTTCGTCCTGGCTTTTTAGAATCTGCCCTGGGCATCTCACTATTTTTGGTGTGCCATTTCCAAGTTTCTAGTCCTTAAGGGCTCTCCCACCCTACTAATGACACCCATGTATCGCAGAGGAGCACGGGAACCCGAAGCAAAGTCAAGCCATTAGTTCACCAAGTTCAGTGTTGTCTACCATGTTGAGAAGCTGTTTCCCAGGGTTTTAGGCAGGGATTTCCGTCCCGTCCCCCTAACCGGAGGCGCTGGGAATCAAACCTAGGACCTTCTGCATGCAAAGCAGATGTTCTACCCCTAAGCTACAGCCCACCTCCAGGTGCAGAGACAAGCCAATGCGTCTAGAGGGGGTAGAACAAGGCATGTCAGCTTGCTCTGCCTCTGAAGGATGCTTTTAGCCCAGAAAGGAGGACAGAGGCAGCTCAAGGATTTAGGGAAGTAAAGGAAGTCCATCACCTTCATTTGCTTCTGTCCACAACAGGTACTCCAAGCTCAGAGCACGCCGTAGGTGAGCAGCATTAGAAACTTGGATATATAAGCTAGATGCCAAATGGCACTTTAAACCAGGGCTGCAGTCGCCAAAACAGAATGTCTAGTCGCCATTTGGGGGCAAGACGGCTCTTAAGTCTTATTTTTCAAATGATGGACTGGTTGCGATTGGTTATCCGTTAAGCATCTGGCTGGCCACTGGGCCCATCACCTCCTGGCAAATAGAAAGGGAAGAAATGGAGGCAGTGAGAGATTTTACTTTCTTGGGCTCCATGATCACTGCAGATGGTGACGAAATTAAAAGACGCCTGCTTCTTGGGAGAAAAGCAATGACAAACCTAGACAGCATCTTAAAAAGCAGAGACATCACCTTGCCAACAAAGGTCCGTATAGTTAAAGCTATGGTTTTCCCAGTAGTGATGTATGGAAGTGAGAGCTGGATCATAAAGAAGGCTGATCGCCGAAGAATTGATGCTTTTGAATTCTGGTGTTGGAGGAGACTCCTGAGAGCCCCATGGACTGCAAGAAGATCCAACCTATCCATTCTGAAGGAAATCAGCCCTGAGTGCTCACTGGAAGGACAGATCCTGAAGCTGAGGCTCCAGTACTTTGGCCACCTCATGAGAAGAGAAGACTCCCTGGAAAAGACCCTGATGTTGGGAAAGATGGAGGGCACAAGGAGAAGGGGACGACAGAGGACGAGATGGTTGGACAGTGTTCTCGAAGCTACCAGCATGAGTTTGACCAAACTGCGGGAGGCAGTGGAAGACAGGAGTGCCTGGCGTGCTCTGGTCCATGGGGTCACTCCCATGATCCCTAGGTAACAGGACCAGTGGTCAGGGGTGATGGGAATTGTAGTCCAAAGCATCTGGAGGGCCGAAGGTTGGAGATGCCTGTTCAAGCAGATTACCAGGGAGGTGCCTGTGATATCGGATGCCTCTAATCAGGCACCTCCTCAAGAGTCGCCGTTCAGGAGCTTCTGCCTAGGGAGGCACCAGTAAGTTAAAGACCTCTGTCCACAAGGAAATGGAGACACTGACATGGGCAAACCTCACGGGCCCAGCCCACTCGCTGTTCCTTTCCACCCTCAAAGTCAGCGGTTGGAAGGAGCAGCACAGGGCGGCTTCACAAAGCAATGCTGGGAGGGAGAAGCTCCGTATCCCCCATCAACTGATGTCATGGATCGGCTGGATGCAGAGGAATAGTGGGGGGCACGAGCTGGGGAACCCCCAAGGGAAGATGGCTCAGAGCCTGGGAATTGGTGGTGGGACGAGTGGTCAGACAGAAGAGGCAGGGAGGAGAAGGTGTGGGAAGCTGAGGAGGTAACAGGGTTTAGTGAGCTGAGAAAGTCTGTGGCAGAGAGGATTTCAGAAACAGAGGCAGAAGCAGGAGAAGAGTTTGGATTCAATATCCCGCTTTATCACTATCCGAAGGAGTCTCAAAGCAGCTAACATTCTCTTTTCCCTTTCTCCCCCACAACAAACACTCTGTGAGGTGAGTGGGGCTGAGAGACTTCAGAGAAGTGTGACTAGCCCAAGGTCACCCAGCAGCTGCATGTGGAAGAGCAAGGAAGCGAACCCGGTTCACCAGATTACGAGTCCACCACTCTTAACCACTACACCACACTGGAGGGTGGAAGGAGGGAGGCCAAGAGGCAGAGATGAGTCCACCTGGGGAAGAGTCACAGGTGTCTCCTCCTCCTGCTGTGACAAGCTCCCTGCCCCGCTTGTCGCCTAGAACCAGAAGAGGCATGAAAAGGGCAGAGGAGAGGTTGGCTGCATGCAGGCACAGTCTCTGATTGACTGGAGAAAATGCTGGAGAGGAGAGGACTCCAGCAGCTGTGGGGAGGCGGGACAAGACCTACCAGAGATGAGTTCATTAGGCCTGACGCCCTGACAAGTCTGTGCATATCATGTTTTGGCTGGTAAGGAGTTAACTCAAACCAGAACAGTGTGATTTACTGCCTATTTGCTCCTGACAGCTGTGGGGCAGATGAGAGCACGTCTTGCTCTAAGGAAAGGGACGATCAGGAGCTCACTTAAGATCCAGGTTGTTCCTTTGAAGCCCACCCACCCACACTTGATGTCATGTAGGACAGAGGGCCTGGCTTTTTCAAAACAGCCTCAAGGATGAATCAAGAGGTCTTGACAGACTGCCTTTGGCCTGCAGGCTAGAGTTTTCCCCGCCTTTGACCTAAACCAGGCATTCAGTAGAATAGGCCACTGCTTTTCCATGGTAGCCCGGAAGGGAAGCCTGAACATCCTGACTATGGAAAAGAATAGTTTGAAGCTTCTAAGTGCTTTGCAAAAATGCAGACGCCAAGCATTTGAGCACTGGACTGTTTCAAAGAAAGAGCCACCAAAACAACAGGTAAAACAGTCCCAAGGTTGGGAGCAACAGCTCAAAGCAAACTCCAGAACAAGAAAACAATTCTTATTTAAAAATAAGTCTTGAGTGTGACTCATTTTCTGCATTTAATTATTTCTCTGGCTGGGCCTTCCATCTCTCTCGCGATTCCCACACTAATGCACATGTGTTATTTTAGAAGCCATGTTTCCAAGGCAATAGGACCTGAAGAAGCAACGCAATTGGCAGCCAATTTGCTCGACACCTCTGGAATCTGTCTTGGGGGAAAGGAAGATCTTTATGCCTTCGAAGAACAGAGCTGTGCCCAGAAACAGCTTCCAGCCCGAAGGATAGCTAAGACCAAATGTATCATTAACTGCAGGCCTGCCTTTGTAAGCTGAATTCAAACTCAGAGTGACTCACGAATGAAAATATAAATTGTTCTGATAATGAATGCAGGTGCTGAGCGCTGACCAGCTTGGAGTTCAAATAGGGACTCTGCAAATCAAGAGAAAGGCATCAGCATACTTGGGAGGCATGCAGGGAAGAAAATCCCAAGGGTTAGGTAAAGGTAAAGGGACCCCTGACCATTAGGTCCAGTCACGGACGACTCTGGGGTTGCGGCGCTCATCTCGCTTTATTGGCCAAGGGAGCCGGCGTACAGCTTCCGGGTCATGTGGCCAGCATGACTAAGCTGCTTCTGGCAAAACCAGAGGAGCGAATGGAAACGCCGGTTACCTTCCCGCCGGAGCGGTACCTATTTATCTACTTGAACTTTGACGTGCTTTCGAACTGCTAGGTTGGCAGGCGCAGGGACCGAGCAACGGGAGCTCACCCCGTCGGAGGGATTCGAACCGGCGACCTTCTGAGTGACGCTGTGGTCTAAACCACTGAGCCTAGGCAATCCCTAGGCTCAGTGGTTTAGACCACAGCGTCACCCACGTCCCAAACCCAAGGGTTACAGAAGTGCAAAAAGAAACCACCCATTTTTAAAACAAAAACAAACATAAGGTGGCAAGAAGCCCAAAGAGGACTGAAAACGATTGGTAGTCCTGAAATGTTAAGTGATCATAGGAAAAGGAAAAAGGAAGACTGGGGTGGGGACGGAATAGTCTGCTGAAAAATAGCCTGGCTAAATTGCAGGGGTTGGACTAGATGACCCATAGGGTCCCTTCCAACAATTCTACAATTCTGTTTTTCTATCCGAAGCACTTTGCATGCACTATCTAGTCACAATTCTTATGTCCCTGCAAGGTAAGTATTATTACCCCCATACTTCTGATGGGCAGACTGAGGCAGAGAGACAGGGGCTTGCCTGAAAGCCACCTAATGAGTTCCTGGCAGAGATGTGATTCAGACCAGGGCCTTCCTAATTCACAGCTCGGACATTTTAAGCCACCGTTCTGCACCTCCAGGTCTCTAACACCAGTAACAAAAAGTACCAAGCAAAATTTAAAAATGGTCGCAATGACGAAGCTAGATAAATGAAAACAACAGCGAAAACAGAATCTTAAGAAAGGAAACAGCCAAGGCAGACTAAGGGTGATATCCAGCGTAGCACTATGTTAAACTACAGCATGCTTGTTCCACTGGCAAAACGTTCTGCACTGGGGAACGTTGCTGTGAACTTTGGTGCAATCGGTTACACGGCAAGCTTCTGCTGGTACAACTGTTACACTGGGTTCGTCGGCTGTGCAGTATTAAAACTCACTCGTCTGCTAGCGCAGGAGGTCTTGCACTAGCAGATTAACGGCATTTTGTACAGCCCTATATAACTAACAAGGGCTCTGACTGGGAAAATGCATAAAAGTCTGTTTAGAAACAAGCAAAAAAAGAGTGGGGCACAATCAAATGAATCTCTCTTGGGAGATTATTTCTTTATTTAAGCATTGCCACAGATAAAGATTCCCTCTGCTGAAAAAGAGCCTCCATAAATAAGTAAAAAAACTTGAGCTTGTCTGTACGATTCTGAGATATCCCCAGATCAGTTAGGGCTGTAACAGTCAACAGACTTGGAATACAACCCCCAAACCAGCTGGATGGCAACGAAATTGACCAAAAGGAAAAGATATAAATTATAAAATACTTGCTTAAGCTAAAATGTGTATTAAGCAAAAATGTGTATCTTGTGTGTCCTTTGTGACCCTGTACAGAAATGATCATGCTTAATTTTGGATAAGCAGTCACTGCAGTAAGCAACAATCATTAAGCCCCATTTACGCACATTTGATATGTGCATTGCACTGAACCCACAAGTGACCCAACAATGTCACAAAAAGGGGCAGAACATGGCAGAAACGGGGTGTTTGCAAGCTTTTCCCATGGTGTTCCAAATTTTACTTAATTTGGTTTTTACATAATTTTTACTTAATTTGGTGATTTTACTTAAACGTGTGGTGCCTTGGAACGCAATCCCTGTGTAAATCAGGAGCGATTTGAAAAAGCTCAAGTTTGAATTTTGCCGTTGTCATTTTACTAAGTTTAATAATCTCTTACCAGTCTCAAGACGTGTCACCACAGACATGGATCTGGGTATAAGAGCAAAATGAAACCTCTAGGAAGCAAAAGATCTGGCTGAAGAGCTTCAGGAGAGATGGTGCCACTATATGTATCCTTAATCATTCATAGAAAGTTTAAAGTGCACAAAGCTATGCTGTCCTCCTGAAAACCATGTAAAGTATGTTAATTAAGTTCACCTATCAAGAAAGGCAAAGTGACTTCCCTTTGGTTAGAGGCACCAATACTTCTAAAAACCAGTTGCTGGAAACCATATATAACTACCCAAATCTTGAGAGTCTCTTCACAGGCTCAGATTCAGGTGCCGTAGCCAATTTAAGTGAGGTAGGCAGCTACCGAGGAGAGGGCCTTCTTAGTGGTGACACCCTTGACTGTGGAATGCCGGGCCCAGATAGGCTTTCTCTATGTGGCATCTGTGGCCACATAGGGACATACTGCAAATTGCATGTGCCATGAATGTGTGTGCACCTGAATGAATTCAATATATCTTAAAGGTAAAGGTAAAGGGACCCCTGTCCGTTAGGTCCAGTCGTGGCCGACTCGGGGGTTGTGGCGCACATCTCACTCTATAGGCCAAGGGAGCCGGCGTACAGCTTCCGGGTCATGTGGCCAGCATGACTAAGCCGCTTCTGGCAAACCAGAGCAGCACACGGAAACGCCGTTTACCTTCCCGCCGGAGCGGTACCTATTTATCTACTTGCACTTTGATGTGCTTTCGAACTGCTAGGTTGGCAGGAGCAGGGACCAAGCAACGAGAGCTCACCCCATTGCAGGGATTCGAACCGCCGACCTTCTGATCAGCAAGTCCTAGGCTCAGTGGTTTAACCCACAGTGCCACCTGCGTCCCTCAATACATCTTAGGACACCTTCAATCACAACTTTTGCAGTCTGCAATTTCACACGAGCTGCTACTCACACCGCTGGGGTAACAGCAGGAGCTGAAACAATCGGAGCAGGGAGTCTTACACATGAAAGAGAGAGGTGGGGAAAACAGTATATAGCAAAATGATAAAAACACAAAATCTATATATGTAAAATTATAAAAAATACAAGGGAATTTGCAGGTATTTTTCCCAAGGGGTAGGAGCAAAGTAAAGTGGGGGACCAGAATAGTTTCTGATACACACAGAAATAGGAGAATAGTGCCTGTGCATTTTTCATATTTAATATTATTATTCATGACTCTGCCATGCTGCTTTATATTTTTAAGAGAAAATGTCAGCACGCTTTACAACACATTGAAACATCAAATAAAACAAGCCAGAATAAAAACTTACTGAAGAACGTCAAACAGAAAGTCTGCCTTCAAAGCAACATAATTAACAGGGAATTAAATGCACATTTAACACAGCAAAGTTAAGAACAACCACAACAATCTAAAACATTTCAAAAGAAAGAAAAGTTCTACTAAAACGAGAACGTTACTTTCTAAAAAAATAAAACCTGGGAATCTGAGAATTATAGTTTTGGGCAGCAGGAAGGACAACTGAGCCCGCTCCCCCATGCACACATGGGGAACAACAGAACCAACTGCCTAGTCCTTTTCACACGTGCACAAGCCAAGGCCTGACTTCCCACATCACCGAAGTAATTTCAGAAAGGGATCGTTTTAGAGATACCTTGTGAGAAATGTTGTTTTTTTTAAACAAAAAACAAAAAACCAAGGAAGTAGTAATATTAATGATGGTGATGCAAGGGCGGCCCAGGAATTTCTGGAAATTCGTAAAGCAAAATTATCTAACTGAGAAGGGAGTATATAACTTTATTTTACTAACCCAACTTAATTAAATAATGTAATTTACAAATGAAAAGAGGGGGGAGAAATTATGCGGAACAAACCAGCAATAAACAAGACACGCACAATTCACACGTACCAAACGGAAAGACACGTGTATTACCTGGCGCAGGCGGGTTAAAGAAGAAGCGTCTCCCTTCCCCGCGTGCTTCACTTTTCCTTCCTGCTCCAGCAGCTGCCTCCGCTCAGCGCAGCCCCATTGGCCGGCTGCTCACGAAGCAACGACGACATCGGACTTCTGCGCTAATATGATTGGTCAAGGCAGCAGCGAGGGCGTGGCTTTCCGAATGTCGCGCCCACACCGGCTACTGAGTTAAGAAAGGCAAGGGCAGCGGACGGCCAGTACTTCCGGGTTACACTAAAAGGCCGCCATTTGAGGGGCGCACGAGTGGAACGCATAGAATTTGCTCACCGACGTCCATGTGTGCTATCAGCAGCACGGCAACTCCCGCGCTTTTATTTGTAACTTGCTTTTGCTCCGTTTCTCAGCTAGACTGGTAAAGAGAAAGCGTTTTATATGCGTTGTATATGCGATATGACACTGTGACACCAGATGGCGCTGTGGAGTTCCGTCTTTCCCTACCGGATTTCCCTGTATGAGTTTACATTGCGTTTAACTGAATCGCTTCTTTGACCAGTCCAGATCCAGCCAGGCGTCCCCGATCCTATCTTTTTGTTCAGACTTGACTATGCCCCACATATTCGATGGCGAGCCGGAAGTGTAGTTTGCGTAGCGTCAATGTATTGCAACGACCCATCCCCTTGGAGGCAAGAGAGGGAAGGATGCGAGCGGACAGTGCGAGCAAAGGACAGCGCGAGCGCTGCTGCGTAGCGTGGCCGCCAGGGGGAGCTGTCGTACTGCTTTTTCTAACGACGTGAATTATTTTATTGTGCAGCCCTGTGTTTATTTATTTTATGTGCAAGAAAATGGAAAGATGCAAATTGCAAAGGGTGGAAGAAACGGGAGGATCATTAGGCGGGGTTTAATTTGAACCAGACGTCGGATCCAATAATAACAGAACAGAAGGTGGTGGTGTTATTTATTAGGGCACTTACACTTTTTAAAAGAAGAGACAGCCCTTTGCTGCGCAAGCTCCCAATACAAGTTACAAAAGGACGGCAAAGCAGAGCAAATTCAGGATCCAATGACAATGGTGACATAAGAACGTAAGTCAACCCTGTCAATAGCCCATCTAGTCCAGCATCCTGTTCTCGCAGAGTTTCACATGTCCAGGGGAAGCCCACTAGCAGGATTCGAACACAAGGCCACTCTCCCCTCCTTCGGTTTCCACCAGACAGGGTCAGCCTACCTATGAGAAAGGGTGAGGCAGTCACTCCAGGTGGTAGATCTAGGAAGTGGTTCCGAAACTTCTGGTAAAGGTAAAGGGACCCCTGACCATTAGGTCCAGTCATGACTGACTCTGGGGTTGTGGCACTCATCTTGCTTTACTGGCCGAGGGAGCCGGCGTACAGCTTCTGGGTCATGTGGCCAGCATGACTAAGCCGTTTCTGGCGAACCAGAGCAGCGCACGGAAACGCCGTTTACCTTCCCGCTGGAGTGGTACCTATTTATTTATTTACTTGAACTTTGACATGCTTTCAAACTGCTAGGTGGGCAGGAGCAGGGGCTGAGCAACGGGAGCTCACCCCATCGCAGGGATTTGAATCACCAACCTTCTGATCGGCAAGCCCTAGGCTCTGTGGTTTAGACCACAGCACCACCCACGTCCCTAAACTTCTGGTAAAGAAAAGTTAAAGGGACCCCTGACCATTAGGTCCAGTCGTGGCCGACTCTGGGGTTGCAGCACTCATCTCGCTTTACTGGCCGAGGGAGCCGGTGTACAACTTCCGGGTCATGTGGCCAGCATGACTAAGCCACTTCTGGCAAACTAGAGCAGCGCACAGAAACACTGTTTACCTTCCTGCCGGAGCGGTAGTTATTTATCTACTTGCACTTTGACGTGCTTTCGAACTGCTAGGTTGGCAGGAGCAGGGACCGAGCAACGGGAGCTCACCCCGTCGCAGGGATTTCCCAGTTGTCAGTGTTTATACTACATTTTGTTATACTTGCCTTGAGAGAGTCTTTAAACCTCTTTTGTTGACCACCAGCATTACACTGTTATGTACTGAAGTTCTCACCCTGGGCCGGCAGGGGGATACTGTAGATAGTTTTCACTCAGGTCCACGTCAGTTATTTTAGGCGGGAAACCCTGGGTTCTTGTTGCTACAATGTTGACAGCCGGCTGCCTATAAAAGCAGGCCGGCTGAGCTGTTTGCTGTTCAGTTCTGTTCCAGCTTACAAAATAAAGAGCTGCTTTGGAGAAATCGCTGTGTCGTCTGCCATGTCTACCCACTATTCAACATACACTTTCCATTTTTAAGTTCGGAATAGAGTAGTTGCTTTGGAAGATGATCATCAGGCATCTGAACAACTTGACCAGTCCAATGAAGTTGATGTTGAAGAATCATTGGTTTGACACTGGTGATCTTTGCTTCTTCCAACTACACTGGCATTAGTTCGCCTGTCTTCCCAAGTGATGTGTAAAAATTTTCTGAGACACCGTTGATGGAGTCAGATTACTGCAACACATTATACGGGGGGTGGGGGGCTGCCTCTGAAGACAGTTCGGAAACTTCAGCTTGGTACAAAACGCAATGGACAAATTGCTCACCAGAATAAGATGGTTTGAGCATAGAACACCAGTCCTGGCACAACTGCACTGGCTACCAATTAGTTTCTGGGCACAATTCAAAGTGCTGATGTTGACCTAGAAAGCCTTACAGGGCTCAGGACCTCAATACCTTAAGGACTGCCTCTCCCCATACGAACTGACCTGGCCCCTGCACTTGTTATCCGAGGCGCTTCTTTATGCCCCCCCCCATCCCAGAGAGGTTTGGAGGGTGGCAACACGAGAACAGGGCCTTTTCTGTGGTGGCTCCCCAGTTGTGGAAGGCTCTCCCCAGAGACGCTCGCTTGGCGCCATCACTACACATCTTTAGAAGCCAGGCAAAAACATTCCTCCTTTACCCAGGCTATTAAATAATCTATGGTCTGTGAAAGTGTGGGGAAGAGGCAGGTCTGTTATTATGATGATGATTTTATTATTCGGCTGTCTGCCAGTATGCTTCTTATTATGCTTTTTATCATTGGTGCTCTGTAATGTGTTTTTAATGTTGTAAACCATCCTGGGAACTTTTGATAAAGTACCGGTATGTAAATTGAATGATTGTGTGGTTACTTTGAATAGTTTTTGTTTCCTCATGAACCTCTTTCCTAATCCAGTCGCTGGAAGCCATAGGAGGAGAGAGGGCTCTTGCGTTCGAATCCTGCTTGCTGGTTCCCCACAGCCATCTTGTCTTATACTCTAATTTTATTGTTCTGCCTTCCGTGCAACTGAGACATCCCCACAGGCATAACCAAGTAGTGTACCCCACCCATAGCTGTCAACTTTTCCCTTTTCTTGCAAGGAATCCTGTTCGGAATAAGGGAATTTCCCTTTAAAAAAGGGAAATGTTGACAGCTATGACCTCACCCCTCTAAATGTATATTACTCTGCCCACGTGAAATGTGGCGTGTGAACTATTCCTCTGGGATCTGCCCAGTGCTTTTTTCTGGGTGAAAAAGGTGGGTGGGAGAACTCACCGCAAAGTTTGTTTATTCGTTGCAGGCCCAGTCGCTGTGTCAACCCGCCCCCAGCAATGGCTGAATGTAAGATGTGATTAATAAACTCAAGCAGACAATGATCTGGATTAGAAATGGCCACAACTTCATTGATTACAGATACAGGTGGATATTTGGCTCAGGCACCCCTGGACCAAAAGCAAAAATCAATCATTTACCGTATTTTTCGCTCTATAAGACGCACCAGACCATAAGACGCGCCTTGTTTTTGGAGGAGGAAAACAAGAAAAAAAATATTCTGAATCTCAGAAGCCAGAACAAGAGGGATCGCTGCGCAGCGAAAGCAGCGATCTCTCTTGCTGTTCTGGCTTCTGGGATAGCTGCGCAGCCTGCATTCGCTCCATAAGACGCACACACATTTCCCCTTACTTTTTAGGAGGGAAAAAGTGAGTCTTATAGAGCAAAAAATACGGTATTTTTTAAAAGGTATGGGAACTCAGTTCCCCGAGTTCCTGCTAAAAAACAACCCCAAACCTCTGGACCTGCCCCTGCAGGTTAAGGCTTTTCGCTTTCTGATAAGAAAGTCCTCCGCTGCCATCCACCTTGCATGACTTAAGCAACAGCAAACCACAGGCTCATTGCATGAATAAGACCGAGAGTGCCTGCAGCAGCAGTGTCGCAACGCTTTCTGAGAGTGGAGTTGGCAGGACTGTTCTCAACGGGCACGTGATGAAAGAACGTAAGTGTGGGAGCCCCGTGCAGGTGGCAGGCAGGTGAACAGAGGCCGTGCGAAACAAGAAGCACTGCTGGTGTGCCAAAGACAGCAGTCCTGCAGGACCCGGCGGCTTTTGCGGTGGCACTGCCAGGCCCCTGGGAGTTTCTTGCTTGCCAAGTTCTCTGGGGCCTTTATCTGATAAATCACACTTATCCTTAGTCTGCCATTGGGGGCAGAGGGAGAAGCCTTGCAGAAAGCGCTGTGGCATGGGATGGCTGGGTCTCCAGGTTTGCCCAAAGCATCTCTTTGCCAAGATGCCGACATGCAGAGGGCCAGGAGGCCAGCTGGCTAGCCCCGGCTGGGCTGTCTCCTTCCAGCAAAGAATATCCCCTCTGCTCCGACGTAAATCAGCGACCTGGGCTTCTGAGCCAGGGCACACTCTCAGCAGATCAAACTGCACACACAGAATAGGCGTGAGGCTTGTGGAAGCATAGTACAACTACAGATTTATTAATCATAAATCAGGACAAAGAAACATGTCATCTCTCTCTCATGTCGTCTCAGAGAGAACAGCTAAAAGCAAAAGCTATACACACAACGGAAGTTCCCAGCATACTGTGCTGGAATGTAAACAGACATGTGAGACATAACCATCTCATGTCTGTTCCTTAAGGTGGAACGGAATTCTCAACAGGGAACACTTCATCATCCCCACCTGGTCTCCCCACTTCTGTTTCTTCCTCACCCCCTTCAGAGCCACACACACGCCCCCTGCACATAATGAAAAAACCCACTGTAACCCAGGAACTGTCGTTTAGGCAATGCATGCAGAAGCGAAGTCAAACTGCTGTGTTAGCAGTACCAAAGCGAAGTCCCTGGGGTGCAAGACTGGGCAGTGTGTCTGGAGGTTCTGGGCTGCCCAAATCTACCCTACCCCCCGGATTCACTGATGTGGTCCAAAGGAAAGCAGAGCAAGACGTTTGGCCACAGCTTGGCTGCAGGAGTTGCTGGAAGGAGGCGTACAAGGCACCATCCAACCGCCTTAGGGACTGCACTCTGAATTTGTGTAGGGTTTACTCCTCGGCCTTTTCTTCTCCCAAAGATGTCCCACAAGGCAGTGGAGGTTTAGGATCAGAGTCTTCCTTCTCCCAGACGGGGTACCTTCCCAGGTGGACGAGCCCCATCTGCCCCTCATGCAGAAACCACCTTCTTGACCGTTGAACCCATTACAGTCATACCTCTTGTTACATTTGCTTCAGGTTAAATCTTTTCAGGTTGCGTCCCATGGCAACCCGGAAGTACCGGAAAGGGTTACTTCCGGGTTTCGCCGCTCGCGCATGTACAGATGCACAAAATGATGTCACGTGCATGCGCAGACACGGGTTGCGTTCTGCTCATGTTGCGAACGGGGCTCTGGAACGGATCCCGTCCGCAACCAGAGGTACCACTGTATTGCTTTTGTCTGCTCAATCTGCCAGAGGTGGGCTAACTACCCCACAAGGAGCACAATGTGTTCCCCCGCCAGAGGTAGGACTTTTTGCCTAACACTCGCTCCCCCAAGAGGCTGTGGTGGCCGCCATCTTGGATGGTTTCGAAAGAATAAGAATAAAAAATAATAATTTTTTATTTATACCCCGCCCTTCCCGGTTCAGAAAACAGGGTTCAGGGCGGCTAACAACAAATTTAGAACACTTAATTGATGCAACAAAAAACAGCTTAAAATACAGTATAAAACGTGGATAACAATAAATTCAGAATTCAAAAATCAATTTAGGGGGGAAGTCCATCCAATAAACATTAGATGATCACCAGGGCTAGCTGGCTAAATTAGACCTATTTGGGCCAGCGAGGAGACCAGGGGAGAATTAGCTGTGGGATCCCAGAACGGGTAATCTTCATAAAAAGGGGGAGGGGAGGGAAGGAAGGGGAATAAAAGATCAGGCTAAGTTCAAATTGAAAGCCAGGCGGAATAGCTCTGTCTTACAGGCCCTGCAGAAGGAAGTTAAATCCTGCAGGGCCCTGGTCTCATGGGACAGAGCATTCCACCAGGTCAGAGCCATCACTGAGAAGGCCCTGGTCCTGGTGGAGGATAGTCTGACTTCCTTAGGGCCCGGGACCTCTAAACTATGGTTATTCATGGACCTTAAGGTCCTCTGCGGGGCAGACCAGGAGAGGCGGTCCCATAAATACGAGGGCCCTAAGCCACAAAGAAGACTCACTAGAGAAATTCATGGGGGATTTGACTATCAATGGGTACCAGCCACGATGGCTGCTCTCTGCTTCCACAGTCAGAGGTAGGGATGCGTCTCAATGCCAGTGTCTGGAAACCACAGGAGGGGAGAATGCTGTGTTGCTGGCTCCCCAATGGGGCATCTGAGTGGCCACTCGAGAACAGGATGCTGGAGTAGATGGGTCATTGGCCTGATCCAGGAAGGCTCTTCCTGTGTTCCTCCATAGTGACTGCTCGTTTAGCAGCAAGAGGAGCCACATAAGAAGAAGCAGCGTTTGGATTTGATATCCCACTTTATCACTACCCTAAGGAGTCTCAAAGCGGCTAACATTCTCCTTTCCCTTCCTCCCCCACAACAAACACTCTGTGAGGTGAGTGGGGCTGAGAGACTTCAGAGAAGTGTGACTGGCCCAAGGTCACCCAGCAGCTGCATGTGGAGGAGCAGGGAAGCGAACCCGGTTCACCAGATTACGAGTCCACCACTCTTAACCACTACACCACACTGGCTCTCTGACATAGGGTCATCTTCCAGCTAGCCAGAAGCACGTGTGCTTGCCTTTCCTCCACAAAGGGCAGTGTCAGCCAGATTCCAAGGAGAAGTTTATTGATACAACAAACCTTTGCAGCAGGTGGAACCTCACCCTACTTCCTTCCAGCACCCCGTCTGGGGCTCAAAGCGGCAGCTTCTTCTCAGACACAGAGACTCCTGCCTGTATCTTATGTTATGTGGCTCAGGGGCAGAGCATCTGCTTTCCATGCAGAAGGTCCCGGGTTCGATACTTGGCTTCCCCAGATTGTGCTGGGTCCTTCCTCTGTCTGAAACCATAGAGAGCTGTTGCCAGTCAGTGTAGACAATACAGAGTAAGATAGATCAGTGTTCCGGCTCAGTTTATGCAGCTCCCTGCACTCTTATTTCAACCGGCCTTTTTTCCACAGCAACAAGGTTTGTGATACTGGTATCATTCTTAAGGGAAACAAAAGCAAAAAGTTGGAGTGTCTACACTGCATGCTGAACACCTCAGGTTGAACCCCTGACATCTCCCAGTAGGGCTGGGAATGTCCCCTGTTTGAAATCCCGAAGAGCTGCTGCCAGCCAGTGTAGGCACTACCAAGTTAGGTGGGCCAGTGGTCCAAGTTGGTGTAAGGCACTACCTATGCCTCCCTTGCCAACAAAGGTCCGTATAGTAAAAGCTATGGTTTTCCCAGTAGTGATGTATGGAAGTGAGAGCTGGACCATTAAAAAGGCTGATTGCTGAAGAATTGATGCTTTTGAATTATGGTGCTGGAGGAGACTCTTGAGAGTCCCATGGACTGCCAGAAGATCAAACTTCTCCATTCTGAAGGAAATCAGCCCTGAGTGCTCACTGGAAGGACAGATCGTGAAGCTGAGGCTCCAATACTTTGGCCACCTCATGAGAAGAGAAGACTCCCTGGAACAGACCCTGATGTTGGGAAAGATGGAGGGCACAAGGAGAAGGGGACGGCAGAGGACAAGATGGTTGGACAGTGTTCTCGAAGCTACCAGCATGAGTTTGACCAAACTGCGGAAGGCAGTGGAAGACAGGAGTGCCTGGCGGGCTCTGGTCCATGGGGTCACGAAGCCAGTGCAGCTGGTATAGCACCGGGTGAATGTGATCTCGCAGCGAAGACCCCGTAAGGAGTCTCGCCGCTGCATTCTGCACCCGCTGGAGTTTCTGGGTCAGCCTCAAGGGCAGCGCCACGTAGAGCGAGTTACAATAATCCAGTCTGGAGGTGACCGTCGCGTGGATCACAGTGGCTAGGTCAGGGCGAGAGAGGTAAGGAGCCAACTGCTTAGCTTGGCGGAGATGGAAAAATGCCGCCTTTGTTATAGCTGCAATCTGCGCCTCCATGGAAAGGGAGGTTGGACTATTAACGTCAGAGCTCCTCCTGGCAACTTTACTGATGGCAAAGATTCGTGGAGACAGGCTGGCCAGTTTGCACGGGAGCCTGTATGGTTGTGCTCATGTGTGTGAAGTCACACCCACACCATACTTTTAGAGTACTCTTAAAGCACTTTCACAGCCATGGCTTCTTTCTTCAACATATTATGGGAACAGTAGTTTGCTAAGAGCACTGGAAATTGTAGCTCTGCAAGGGGTCTCCTAACAATTCTCAACATCCTCACCAAACTGCAGTTTCCAGTGGACACTTGGTACCACAAACGCTGGAGCATAGCTAGAATGGAGAAAATTGGGCATAATTTGAGATTTCGGCAAGGACTAGAACCTCCACCTATTTTTTATAACATTTGGCATTTGTTGCATATACAGCTGGATCACACATGCTATCGTCACAAGCCTAGCAAATCTTGAACTCCACTTGGGAATTGGCTAATATTATTTCTGTACACAAAGACAACTTTCGCCCTCGCTTGCCCCCACCCTCCTTCAATGACCTGGAGTTTGTTACTTAACCCATATGCAACTGCCCTTATGTTACCTGCCTGTTTTATGGTTTTGTTTTTCATTTTTCACCTGTCGTTATTGCCCTTCTCCTTGTTTTATACACATTATAAAATGGGCCTGGGGGATAGCTCAGTCGGTAGAGCACGAGACTCTTAATCTCAGGGTTGTGGGTTCGAGATCGACTTTGGCCAGAAAAAGAATCCTACCTTGCAAAGGGTTGGACTTAGCTGACCCTTGCGGTCCCTTCCAACTGTACGATTCTATGAAAATGATTTTTTGAGATATATTTGGAAAGCAGAAGGTCTTTCTTTTCGCCTGCTGCTCCTTGGTTCTTTGGACGCGGGTGGCGCTGTGGGTTAAACCACAGAGCCTAGGACTTGCTGACCAGAAGGTCGGCGGTTTGAATCCCCGCAATGGGTTGAGCTCCCGTTGCACGGTCCCTGCTCCTGCCAACCTAGCAGTTTGAAAGCACGTCAAAGTGCAAGTAGATAAATAGGTACCACTCCGGCGGGAAGGTAAATGGCGTTTCCGTGTGCTGCTCTGGTTCGCCAGAAGCGGCTTAGTCATGCTGGCCACATGACCCGGAAGCTGTATACTGGCTCCCTCGGCCAATAAAGCGAGAGGAGCGCCGCAACCCCAGAGTCGTTCACAACTGGACCTAATGGTCAGGGGTCCCTTTACCTTTACCTTGATTCTTTAATTGATGTCACCAAGGACAGAACCCAACTCTTTCTGCTATTCTCCTCTAAACTAAACAATACACACATGCCTGTTTATTAGACGAGCAGCTTTGAAGGGAGGCTGACCAAAGTCTCATTCCCAGAGCCAGTGCACTGAATATCTTGGCTTTTATCTTTTCTAATCAGCCCTGCTCCCAGAGGTGCAGCAGCTGGGATCTTTGCCGCTGCATTTGATCTCTCCGCTGGCATCCTCCTCTCCCGTCTCGTTCCACCTGCCCCTGTTACGACAGCAGGGCAGCAGCGCCAGAAGAGAGAGAAAAGGCTTTGCCTTGCAGGTCCCGTCATGAATATTTCAAGGACTCGCTCTGAATAGCTGCTCCCAGCTTTAAAAATGCAAAAGGGTTGTGACACAGGCAGCCTTGCTAAATTGCACGCTGTTAGCTTCCATAATGGAGGGGCCTCTTTTGCTTCCAATGCAGGGAGCGCACATAAAACCTGCATCTGAAAGACGCCCACATGGTACTTTTTATGGATGTGAAAGACTGGCTGGGTGCAGAGGAGCGGTAGGAGGCACCAGCTGGGGAACCCCCAAGGGAAGAAGCCTCAGAGCCTGGGAACTGGTGAGGAGACAACAAGGAGTGGTCAGAGGGAAAAGAGGGAGCAGGCTGAGAGGAGGAGGCGTTGGAAGCTGAAGAGGGAACAGGGCTTAGTGAGCAGGAAGAGGCTGGGGCAAAGAGAGGTCCACAACCAGAGGCAGAAGCAGAGGCTGGAGAGGAGGGGGCCAAGAGACAGAGATGGGGCAGGCTACTGAAGAAGCCAGGGGGTCCCCTCCTCCCTGGTCACCCAGAACCAGGAGAGGAATGACGATGGCAGAGCAGAGACAGACAAGACGATGGAGTCTCAGATTGCTTGGGAAGGACCCAGGGGAGAGGAGCTACTGTCTCGCCAGAGTGGTGCATGTGCTAGTTACTGTATTTTTCGCTCTATTAGACGCACCGGACCATAAAACGCACCTAGTTTTTAGGGGAGGAAAACAAGAAATAAGAAGCCTCCTGAGAGAAGAGGGAGCTATCCCTGAAGCCAGGAGAGCAAGTGGGATCAGTGCGCACCGTCCTGGCTTTCCCTCCACCTCCCACAAGAGCCACTCACTCTTTAAAGGGAGCGCGGCTCTCGGGGGCTTTTCTGGGAGGTGGGGAAGGGACTGAGCCACACGCTCTGTCCCTTCCCCCACCTCCCGCAAAAGCCAGGGATAGCCGCGCGAAGCCTCTGCAGGGCAGTGGGATGAAGGCTTCCTGCTGCCCTGCGAAGGCTTCGCGCCGCTAAGGCAGAAGCTAGAACAGCTAGAGGGAGCGCTGTGCAGTGCTCCCTCTAGCTGTTCTGGCTCCTGAGGTAGCCCGCGAAGCCTCCACAGGGCAGTGGGGAGCCTTCATCCCACTGCCCTGCGGAGGCTTCGCGGGCTACCCCAGAGCTGCTCAGGAGCACGGGGCATCTGCGCGCAGCCTGCCTGCTGCTCCCGGGACTGGAGGGGGAAGCCCGGGTTTCCCCCGCCAGCCCAAAGAGCAGCTCAGGAGCATGCCGCACTCCGACAATTTAGTTCCAGGGACCACACATTCGCTCCATAAGACGCACAGACATTTCCCCTTAGTTTTTATGATGAAAAAGTGTGTCTTATGGAGCGAAAAATACAGTATATCCTGCTTGGACTACTGCAATGCACTCTAGGTGGGGCTACCTTTGAAGGTGACCTGGAAACTGCAACTAATCCAGAATGTGGCAGCTAGACTGGTGACTGGGAGCGGCCGCCAAGACCATATAACACCAGTCCTGAAAGACCTACATTGGCTCCCAGTACGTTTCCAAGCACAATTCAAAGTATTGGTGCTCACCTTTAAAGCCCTAAACAGCCTTGGCCCAGTATACCTGAAGGAGCATCTCCACCCCATCGCTCAGCCCGGACACTGAGGTCCTCCTTCATGGATGTTCTGCTGGTTCCCTCACTGAGAGAAGTGAGGTTGCAGGGAACCAGGCAGAGGGCCTTCTCAGTAGTATCGCCCTGTTGATTTAAGCAGAGTCTCGTTGCCAGCGGAAGGATGAGTAATACGTGCTACATACTCTATATAGCTTTATTTACAGTTCAAAGCTGGTATATTACAGAAAGACATCTTGCCTCTGCCGAAGCAGAAAAATGCATCCTCTCTCCTCAACAGCTCGGAGAGAATCACACAGTGAAAAACAGGAAACCAGTGTACGTCACATCCAGTCTCCCTTTCCCGTGAGAAACTCCAACAGTACAGACTGTGGAATGTAAACACCTGTCTCATGACAAGTTAGCTGCACAGTGAAGGAAAGCAGAAACCAACATCCTCCCCCTTTCTGTGAACATCACTGGGCAGCGTGTTTGCACAATATCAGTACAAACCCAACTTCTGCACATAGGTACAGTGTTGATCCCTCGATACAATCTTGGACAATACATCAGCAGGAATTTCATTACCTGGCATATAGGACACCGTTACGAGTCCCTTCTGAATACATTCCCTAGCATGCTGCAACTTTAATTGCAAGTGCTTTGTGCTTTGCTTACAACCTTCAGACTTCAGCAAAGCCAAACATGCTTTGTTGTCCTGGTAAACCTGGATTGGACATTTGACAGGAATTTTCATATCTTTGCACAATTGTAACAACCATTCACAATCTTTAAGTGAATAAGACAGTGCATTCAGTTCGGCTTCACAAGTACTTAAGCTAACTGTTGTTTGCTTCTTGCATGACCAATCAAACAGACTCTGATTGTACATGTAGCAAACTCCAGACGTACTTTTCCTGTCTGTAGCGTCACTTCCAAAACTTGCATCTGCAAATATCTCAAGACCACCAGACTTCTGATTGTTAAATCTCAGTCTGTAATGCATAGTGCCTTTCAAATACCGCGCTATGCGTTTCAGAGCTTTCCAATCCTTGACACTAGGATTGTTGACTTGTCTGCTTAGCAAATTACAGCTAACAGCAATGTCTGGTCTTGAACATCTGGCAATGAAGTTTAGCTTGCCTAGCACACTCCTGTACAGTGTAGTGTCAGAAAATGCTTCTTCAGTGTCATCTACCTGATAACCTGTTGTCATCGGTGTGTCTACAGGGTTAGCATCCATCAGATTTAGTTTGCTTAACACATCAGCAATTTTCCGTGACTGGTGTACTAGAATGTTACCATCTTGATCTCTCTCTATTTCCAGAGATAGGTAGTTGTTTACCTCACCAAGATCTTTCATGTCAAAGTGCTCTTTCAGTTGAGCTAGGGCGTTATTGTACATTGCGACATCTTTCCAAAAGAACAATAAATCATCAACATAAAACAAACAGTACAGTTTCTTTTGCCCCTCCTCTTTGACAAATACACATGGATCAGCTTTCCCTTGCTGAAAACCTAGAGAAAACAATACTTCAGTGAGTTTTGTGTGCCAACACCGTGCACTTTGTTTGAGACCATAAAGGGATTTCTTCAGAGCACAAACAAATCCCTGTTTTACCTGTACGCCATCAGGTGGAAGCATATAAAGTGATTCATCTAGAGATCCGTACAGAAAAGCTGTATTAATATCATGGTGACTAATGTGTAGATTTTCCTCAGCAGCTAGCTTGAGCATAAGCCTAATGCTTTCATATCTCACTGTGGGTGAATAGGTCTCGTGATAGTCTTCACCTGGTACCTGTGCAAAACCTCTGGCTACCAATCTGGCTTTGTGTCTGACTATCTTGCCATTTTGATCTGTCTTCGCTTTGAAGACCCATTTGCTTCCAAGCAGTTTCATTCCTGGAACTACTGGAACTAGCTCCCATGTTTTGTTCCTTTCTAAGGAATCAAGCTCAGCCTTCATGGCATTTAACCATGGCTCAGCTTCCTTTGAATCCAAACCCTGGATTTCTTGGAAACTTGAAGGTTCAAATACCTTCTTGGAGCTTTTAACAGCTGTTACTGCTATCGTCGCAAACTCATCAGCAAATCTCTTTGGAGGTTTGCTTTTGTAGCTCTCTGTGACCTACGAATTAGCCTTAAGTCTTCAACACTCTCCTCTTCCTTCTTAGGAGAAAAACGACCTATTGTGAACAATGGTTCCTCCAATTCTTGATCAGAGCTTTCAGAGGGTCGCATAGAGGCTTTCGCACTCTCGAAATCCTCTGAATCACCCGATTCAGTTTCAGATTCAGACTCAGAACCTTCATCAGTGGGTGTGGGCGGTTGTGGGTGCTGTTGACCATCCTCCGTCCCATCACCGTCATCAGGATAACATTGGAAAATTCCCACATTCTCCCCCACTTTGCATTGTACTCAACACTTCTCGTGAGCTTAATTGTCTTAGAGTCAGTCATCATTATTCTGTAAGACCCTTTCTGATAACCTAGAAAGATACCATGCAATCCACGCTTGTCTAACTTGGAGTTTTGTGGTGAGCGAACCCACATGTCAGAACCAAAAATCTTCATGTGTTTGATGTATGGCTTCTTGCCAAACA